AGAAAGATACAAAAGAAAATTATGAGCTTGGGGTCAGCCTCAGGAGGGAAGGTTCCCACTAAATGACTTCCTTTTCAAATTGCTGTGAATATGTACATACTGTATAGTCTAAGTTGTTTTTGTTAATTGCATTATACTCTTAACTTTAACAACTAAAAGACAGACACAGAGCTCAATGCATTACTTCAAATGCATTACTTTAGGGGTGTCACAAGTTGTCATGCTATATGACAACCTGGATGTGCTGTCACAGCAGACTTGTTAATGCTTTGGACCATCGGAACAGCAGTGCTAAAAGAGACATTTTTATGGCAGGGTGAAGCAAAGGTATCTAGACATCAACAGTAAGAAATAGTTCACTGGGGAGAATTCTTCCCAGATCTCACCAACTGTTCAGCTGCTCCAAAAAGAATCTTTCCAACGTGCTGGAAATGTTAATTTTGTCCCACAAATAGAGGTAATTGGGGAAGAAAAAATAAATAAACTAAGGAACTAAAGAAGACACTGTCATGCTTTTTCCCCTCAAGAAAAGAGTGTTAATGATACAAAATATAGATGAAGGCTTATTCAAATGAACCAAATTAACTTTCATCTAAACAACTTTACTTTTTAAAATTCTATTTGCAAGCTTTATTTTGTTGGCAAATAAGTGTAATTTATGTGTATAAAAGCAGTATCATTCTTAATTATCTACTATTCAAGGTTTATGAATATCAATAGCTACAAAAGAGAAAAAGCAGTCTCTTCCTTTCTCATCACTGCTCTAGACCAGCAATGACATCAACGACAAACAGGAATCTTGAAGATCTTGACAAGGGACTCCGAAGTCATGAAACTCATGTTTTGTTTTGTTTTTGTTATTTTAATTCTATACCAGTGTTTAAATAAACGATAATTAAAATGTTTATAAGGTAAGTACTGCTAAAAAAATTCCTTGTAAGGTCACACCCCAATTCCAACACAGGGAAACTAAATATGGTTTTTTACTTTCTTCTTTCCATTTATTATGTGCTACTGCAAATTCTAAGATAATTTATATTTCAAACAAATTTAGAGGTGGAATATATACATATATTATTCACATATATAAAGAAAGAAATACAGCTGTAGAGTTAGGGGAGGGTGTATCACTTCAAATCTTTATTTTACAGAAGACTGAAAGCAATACAACCAAGTCTGCATCCCTGAGCTGTGACCTTCTTGAATGGTAATACTAACAGTGATTTCCCCAATCCTACAACGTACTTCATTCAGCTATAAAATGTAAAACTCAAAGCAGTGCAATTAAAATAGCTAAAAATTAACAATTATATTCACTCAAAAATGTCACAGATTTTAAAGTTTCAAAAGCATCATTGGACAGCTCTCTGAAAAAAATTCCTTAAAAAAGGAAATGCCAAACATATTTATTTGCTAACTGAAGTGAAGTTTCAGTGAGATATGACTGTAGAGAAGCAGTACTACCCTGAATTGGTTCCTCTGCAAAAATTCATAATAAAAGAATTACAAGGCCTTCTTCTCAGCCATCCAGCAAGTTAACATTACAAAACCAGCAGAGCTCTCCAAGTTTGTTTAGGAGAGGCCCTGTCAATTCATCTCCCAAAGAAAGTCTTGTGTGTGGCTGCTCAAATGTCTCCTGGAGAGATCCGTGGGATATGACAGGACAGCACCCCATGCTCCTTATCCCATGTTTTACCATTCTCCAGCCTCGTCACCATCTAACTGCTCATAGATTCTGCTCATTTACTATCTATCTCAACTTGTTAAAATGAAAGCTCCACATAAGAATTAGTTTTTCAAAATTTGTATAGTTAATGTATGGTGTGTGTGTAATCAGGCTTGTCTGAGCCATTTTGCTGGCCCTAATTATCCCTTTTCTTCAGTGCTAGAATTTGAACTTCCAGCTTCAATCAAGTCTACCATGGAGCTACATTCCCAGCCCCAAGAATTCTTATCTGCTTTGCTCCTACAATATCAAAATCTAAAGAAGCCTATGTAAGGGCTTGCTACTATCTGAATGAATGTGCTTTATATTGCTGTTTTTGTAAACAATAAGCACTCACTCTAACATTAAAAAAATTTCAATTCACAAACATCCCAAACTGTGCTACCTATAAAACATGGATGAAAAAGTAAATGCCACTAAAAATAAAATATGAACACATACATGTTTTCCCCTGAATATAAACAACTTGTTTCCAAAAAGTTGGAAAGGAATTGGAAGTGGGAGATCCAGGAGGAATTGGGGGGGGGGGTATTACAATCAAAATATATTATATGCATGTATGAAAATTCTCAAAGAATTAATAACAAATATATCTTAAAAGAAATAAAAAGTAAAGTATGTCAGATTTTTTAGAGCAAAATTGAAATACAGCTGCCACATGAATCTCATGCCTCTTGCTACAAAACTAAAAGCTGCGTGGGAAGCATGTTCAAACTGTAAAACAAGTATTTATGACTTGACACCAACAGGGAGACAGAAAGGGCAGAGTGCAGGCCAGGAGCCTTCCTTTTCTATTTCTATGAAACAAGAAATTCAGGATCTAAAATAAGCTACAGAAAGAAACTCAAAAGCATTTTGTTGTCAACATTACCAATAATGGGAAAAAGCACTAGAAGGAAAAAAAAATAGTATGCTGCTCACTTATGATTCTTGCTACAGTAAAATAAGCTTTTACAAAACCAGAGACAAAATGCATCTCCATCTCCATGGAAACAATATCCCCTAGTATGTGACACTCAGAAATGGGTTTCTATGCAGATCTTCACAATGGAAGAGCACTCGTAGGATATGGGATTGTTGGGGGACTGAAGAGAACATCAGTTGTTAAATAGACGGGTTTGGACATCAACTTTGGCTCTGCCACTTACTTTCATCACAGACAACCTAAGTCTCATTTGAGCCACAGGGTTTTTGTTTTGTTTTGTTTTGTTTTTGCTGCTTTTGCTGTTTGTTCTGTTTTATCTATTTTTTAAATAATTTATTTATTTTATGTATATGAGTGCTCTATCTGCATATACAACTTATGCCAGAAGAGAGCAACAGATCCCATTACAGATGGTTGTGAGCCACCATACAGTTGCTGGGAAACTGAACTCATGACCTCTGGAAAAACAGCCAGTGCTCTTAACTGCTGAGCCATCTCTCCAGCCCCCATTTTATACTTTTAATCAGCAAAAAAGTCTGCTCAGAACATAAAGATAGCACAAACCTTCTAATTCCAGGCCTGGTATATCCCTGGCTATATCTACAGGCTTTTGGACATTCCCACCTCTGAAAGTCTGTTGGCTTTATTGTACTAGCCTATCACTGGGAATCCTAACAGCAGGGGTTGGTATTGCTACCATTGTCAATCACCTCATAGCAGCAAAGGAAGACACTTATTTAAGGCAAAACAAAGGTTCTTAAGTTTTGTGGGGTTTTTGTTTTTTGCTTTTCTTGTTTTGGTGGTGGTTTTTTTTCATTTGTTTTTAAGTTCAGAGGCTGTGCTACAGCTCAGTGATAAAGTGTTTTACCACTGTACCACTTGTAACAATGTACAAGACTCTGGCTTTCATATATATATATATACACACACACACACATATATACATACACACACATGTGTGTATGTACATGTGCATGCTCTCTGTCTCTGTCTCTCTCTTACACACACACACACACACACACACACACACACACACACACACGGCAAGTGTCTTTACCCACTGAGCCATCTTGCTGGCTCTAATTATTACTTTTGTAATAAATAACATATATGGTAAATAAAATAATATATATATAAAATAAAACTATGTAATGTTTCTGACTACAGTCATGGAGCATGATCTATTATAATACCATCTTAGAACAAAAAGAACTGGGGGGGGAGTAATGAAAGAGATGTCTTGATGGTGGGGGTGCATTTCAGGGTCAGGGAGAAACCTGATGCCAGGGAAACTCCAAGAACCCACAAGGATGACCTCAGCTAAGACTCCTAACAATAGTGGAAAGGGTGCCTGAACTGACCATCTCCTGTAATCAGACTAGTGATACCCTAATTGTCATCAGAGAGCCTTCATCCAGTAAATGATAGAAACAGATGCAGAGATCCACAACCAAGCACTGGGCCAAGCTCCAGGAATCCTGTTTAAGAAAAGGAGGAAGGACTGTACAAGCCATGGGGGGCCAAGGTCATCACAAGGAACCCACAGAAACAACTAACAGGCTCATAGGAGCTCACAGGTTCTGGACTGACAGCCCTTTACATATGTGTGACAGTTGTGTAGCTTGGTCTATTTGTGTGACTCCTAGCAATGGAATCAGGGCCTATCCCTAACACTTGAGCTGGCTTTTGGGAACCTATTCCTCATACTAGGTTGCCTCACTCAGCCTCAATACAAAGGGAGGAGCTTAGTCCTACCTCAACTTGATATGCTAGGCTTTGTTGACACCTATGGGAGGCCTGCCCTTTACTGAACAGAACCAGAGGAGGAGGGGATGCGAGGGGGAGCAGAGAGGAGAAGTGGTGGGGGAAAAGGAGGGGAGAAGGAAGAGGAAACTGTGGTCAGGATGTAAAATAAATGAAAAAAAAATTTGGTTAATTAAAAAAAAAAGAATCTCAGCCATCATTTAACAAGAATCCTGAAATTGAATCCACTGTGGAATTTAGATGAGATAATCAATTTCTCTTTAAAGGCTCCTAGTTTCAACTCCTACTCCAAATGTAGCAGCTTTTGTGTTTCTGAACCTTCCAATTAGAAGACAGGATTTCTTTCTCTATTAGAATGTTGAGGAGAAGACAATGTAAGAGAGAATATATAAACTTCACTACATTTACATACTTTTAGAAAGAACCTTTGTTGCTTTATTGGGGGAAAGAAAGGATATTCTATATAATGACAATTCTACAGTATAAAAGCCAACTTCAAAAGATCTATCTTAAGTATATATTTGCATTCTCATAACAAAATACAAGTTAGAAACAGTCTTCTGAATACATAAAAAAAAGACAAACCTGGGATGATGTCATTGATGTGCAGAAGAACTGTACTTTCAACACTTGCAAAACTACAAAGCTGTACTCCATCAAACCTTCCATCCCAGTTGCCAATAGGGTTATCCTAGATATGCCAATAAAAAGGTAAACCTTTAAACCCTTGTCAATAAAATGTAAATATGAACACCTACATTTCTTACAAAAGTATCCTCTAAAATATTTTTCATTGAGAAATTTTAACTATTTTGTCCAAAAGAAGAAAGACTCCATTAGAAATATCTACTAAAGTAACAATGTTGTACAATAAATATAATAATAGCAATCAACTTACAGCAAACACATAAAATAATGAGTCAAAGGTGTTTTTCATACTTTAGTTTGCAATAATAACAGCAGCTGAGGTTTAAAGAGACATTATTTGCAATAGAAAATTTACTAGGAATGCACTGTTTACCCAGAAACCTCCCCTTAAAAGTTAATCACACATTTACATCCCCTGGGCATTCTGCTCATCTGTATTACTATATGCCTTTCTGTAAACAGAATAGGAGTTATTTCAGAATTCTTTTGTCATCTGTGGGTACACAAGACTTTCCTCAAACAATGGAGAGTTTCTAAGTTACACTCTACTGTATCACCAGCCACATGGGTTGTTCATGAGGTACGGACAGATGACAGTGAAACAACTGCTCTGAGCACCAGCGTGTGGAATGCTACAGTCCCTGAAAACAGAAAGGCATGAATAAAGTTGCAATTGATGAACTTTCTTCTCAAGAAGCCTAATGGGAGTGTTTGGAACTGATGCTTGCATAAATAAAGTGGCAGATGGCCAGAACATGGGTGGAGGTGGCAGGCAAATCTCAAGACAGCCTGCCTGGGCTAAACAAGATGATCCTCTAGGCCACCATCAAAAAAGAGGAGGACCCAAACAGCTCCTGTCACATTTAAAGCCTGGCCAAAGAACCTATAACAAGGGGAGACTAAGTCCAACGATTAATGGCCTTCTTTCTCCAAGCTTCTTTCTATCCAGCCCACAACTTCTCTGAAACACTAAACTCACATTTAAAGAATACTGGTTCTTAATTATTAGAGATTCTGAGGGGCCCATGGGTCTTACTCTAGCTCTAATTTCACATAGCGAGAGTCTGGCAAATTCTTATTTTGTACCTAACTAATCAGCATCTTACACAATTTCTAAGCACAAAATAACAGAAACACACTAGAACATTTATGCCCTACCATCTCTTTAGAGTATTTCTGATAGATAAAAATGATTACTAAAAATACCCCATGTGAGTCTGCTGCTCATATCCTCTCCTAATACACCCCGGTGTATTAACAATTATGAAGGACTCTCCTTTATCCATAATGAACTTTTGCTCATACTTTCAGTCCATGATAAAAATGTTCTCAACTTCTTTCTTCTCATTCATTCTCCCTTTCAACAATCTCTCTCTCTCTCTCTCTCTCTCTCTCTCTCTCTCTCTCTCTCTCTCTCTCTCTCTCTCTCTCTCTGTTTTGTTTTTTGAGACAGGGTTTCTCTGTGTTGTTTTGATGCCTGTCCTAGATCTCACTCTGTAGACAAGGCTGGCCTTGAACTCACAGAGATCCGCCTGGCTCTGCCTCCCGAGTGCTGAAATTAAAGGCGTGCGCCACTGCTCTTCTCATTCTCTTAATACCACAGGCTAATTCAATATATGCATTGGAAGGCATCCATTATTAACAAGTATAATTATTCAGTAATAAAAATGAGTGATACAGGCCGGGCGGTGGTGGCGCATGCCTTTAATCCCAGCACTCGGGAGGCAGAGGCAGGCGGATCTCTGTGAGTTCGAGGCCAGCCTGGTCTCCAGAGCGAGTACCAGGAAAGGCGCAAAGCTACACAGAGAAACCCTGTCTTGAAAAACCAAAAAAACAAAACAAAAAAAAAAAAATGAGTGATACAAACAAAAGATACCATATGACCTCACTTTTGAGGTACCTACAGCAGGCAAAAACCTAGATTATAGTTAACAGGCACGGGCAAATTAGGCAGATTTGATTTAATAGGAACAGAGCTCAATATGGGATGATGAAAAAGTTCTGCACATGGACAGTGGAGACAGCATAATGAGAATATACCAAATGCCACTGAACTGTTATTCTAGCCATGGTTAAGGAAGAAATTTTCTTATACATATTTTGCCACAATAAGAAAAGTTTTTAAAAGTGCAAATCCTGTGAAAATACTTTGTCAACTCAAAAAGCAGTGTGGTTCTTTTCCTGGTATTTTCTATTAATGACTTTTTATATTCATTATCATCAGAAAATCAATTAAACTTTATCAAAAATACAGTATCATACAATGTATTTGGGCTTGGTCATGGAAATATCAGTTTATTTTATTGTTTTGGTATGGTTTTTGCTTTTATCTACTGGTCAGTTATAATAAGGAGAATTTAAAGACTAAGAGCATTATCTCAGTTTATTAAAACATGAAAAAAATGTAGCAAATGCATTCTGTTTCTGCTCACATGTCCTATTTTAATGTTCTTGTACCAAAGATAAACTGGAACATCTTCTTTAAAGTACTGTAAATTAGTCTATTTTAAGTATACAAAATATTAATTTTATGCCTAAATTGTTAATTAAACTAATACTTATATTCACAATAATACAATCCAAAATTTCCTTACCATGTCCACACCAACAAAATATCCTAGACTCTCTTTTCCTGGCAAAACATCACAGAATATTACTGTTCCAGATTCTATACTTTCTCCAACCTTCAAAGAAACTCTGGAGTTTATTTCCAAAGGGGGAGGTTCAACCTGCATTGTATCCCCTGGGCCTGCAAAATCACTTTCCAGTCCATTGTCATCATCTTCTATGAGTTCCAGCTTGTCCAATGCAACAAACACTCCACAGTCTTCATCGCACTGAAAAAGCTGCTTCCCTTGATAGACCCCATCAGTGAAACCTTGGCCACGACCTTCTTCCTAGATTTGAAAGATTTTTTTTAAGAGATATAAAAAGATTATCCATTAAAGGGATTTCAGGATAATTTCTTTGGAAAAACTCTAAATTGTACACATAATAAGAAATATCATGAGTAGCAGCTGCTGTTGGGTTTAGGGCATGTAAAGAATAAAGAAGCTGTATCTGATGATGAAACTAACTCATAATACCAAATCATAATTCTTTTGAGAAAGAGTTGGGTTGAAATTTACAACATAATTCTACCATGACTTTTGTCATGAACAGACAATCTACCTTAAGCAAATAGCAGCATTAACTCCATTTACTGAGAACAAACTGTATGTCTTCCGCTGTAGAACTACTATAAGCCACGTGTGCTCTAAGCACTTCACAGATGAGGAACAGATTAGGAGAACTTGATGTAGGCTAGTTAAGTAGCCTGGCAACCCTGCTGGTATATACCATAACTGTCTGTCAAAACCTAATTATCTCATTGCTTAGAAAATGAAATCAAGAAGCAAATAAAGCATGAAATTCTACTCACAAGAATGTCAAGAGTGTTGCATTACTGAGAAGCAATGTTCAGTTTGGAATTACAGAATTCTTAGATATGTTTCCAAGAGAAATAAATTCCAAGGCAGTTGATATTGAAATTGCTGCAACACACTTCAAAACTCTTGCATCTATCTGAACTGTTATACTTAATAGCATAATTAAGAACTGGGACTCCTGGAGATGATGTCATAAAATAGCCCACAATTTTTGGAGAGGTTAATTACAATTGGCAGTGTTAACTTTCAATGTAGATAACTTAAAACTCCTAAAATATGAAAGTCCAGAATGACATGTACGTTTCTACTGTAAGAGAAAAATTTTCAAGAATTGTCTTTATATCCTCTCAATTTATCATTAAGTAAATTTTGGGGCCGATATATAGCTCAGTGGCAGAGGGCCCTGGGGTCCATCCTGAGAACTGCACCAAAAACAAAGAAACAAAAAACATAAATTCTAAGGATCATGAATATAAAAAATATATTGCATATAAAGGGGGAAATATGTGCTTGCGCACACAGATTCATTCATTCATTCTCTCTCTCTCTCTCTCTCTCTCTCTCTCTCTCTCTCTCTCTCTCTCTTTCTCTCTCATCAAACTTACCAGCAATTCTACTCCAAAGAAAATCCCCGACACTGTCCTCTCTGCTAATAAAGGTCCTCTGAAGCGTACAACTCCTGGAAATTTCTCTTCCCCAGAACGCAGCTGTACTTTCACAGGGCTGCCCACGTCTACCTGGAGGCCTTTACTTAGTCGGATTCTGTTTCTAAATAGGCTGAGCCTCTCTTCACAGTTGGTAATTGCCAACAGTAACTCTGTGAATTTTTCATTTATTTCTACAACATCCTTTTCATCAACAAATAGAACTGCATGCGGTTGCTCTAAGATTTTTAATCCAATCTGATTTTTCTTGCCTTTTGCGGAAGGAACTCTTGAATGCCCCACAGAACGGTCTTGGATGTACTGTCCTATACTTCCTTTGGGTACTTTCAGGAGCTTCTGTGTCTGTTTGTCTGTTACACTGCATTCTTGAAGAAGCAGATAAAAAATCCGTTCTTCCCAGTAGGGTGAAGTAACTTTCTCTTGGCTCCATAGGCCTGAACTCATTGTGACAGTAACTTCAGAACATCAACTCACAAAAAGGAACCAGTAGCAAAGCTGTCATAAAATAATCCCAAAAAATGAACTCACTGGAAGTCCCAAAGCAAGTTATTAGCAGCCTGGTGTCCATACTGTAAAAAGACAGCAATTCAAAGTGCCTGGCAAACAAGCAAAACAAACTTTAGACTCCATTCAATCCAACCTCAAATTAAAGCTAAAGAGTTTTTAAAATCTCACTTGACTATATACATATATAATCATCTCAAAGAGCTAAAAGACATGTATGACTTGTGTACACTGTAACTGCATTTTTTAAAAAATCCAGTAACAAAGCATCCATAGACAGTAACAAACGACTGTTCCAAAATTATAAAATCAGAATCTAACAAAAAACTTTACGGTTACCTTAATATACAGACTCTGGGGTTTTTTTTTTTTTGTTGTTGTTGTTTAAACTTTACAAAGTAACATTTCTGTCTAACTTGAATGAATAAGACACAGTATTTGAGAAAACACACATAATCTTATAAATTAAAAAGGCTATTTCTAGCCGGGGGCGGTGGTGGCGCATGCCTTTAATCCCAGCACTTGGGAGGCAGAGCCAGGCGGATCTCTGTGAGTTCGAGGCCAGCCTGGGCTACCAAGTGATGTTCCAGGAAAGGCGCAAAGCTACACAGAGAAACCCTGTCTCGAAAAACCAAAAAAAAAAAAAAAGGCTATTTCTAAACATGCACCTTAGATAGAAAGTAACACATTATAATATTAAACATCTTTTATCAATAAAGATATGACAATATTACATTCTGAAACTTCATCCACAATTCATTTATCTATATGCTCTATTTTGGTAATGGAACATTATCTCACTCAATTTTAATTTTATTTTTTATAATATATATATATATATATATATATATATATATATATATATATATATATGTATCTGTGTGATTGTATGGCACATGTGTGTATAACAGAAGGCCAAAAGAGGGACAGTTGGATCCTCTGGAGCTGGAGTTATAGGTAATTGTGAGCCACCCACCATGGGTGCAGAGAACTGAATTTAGGTCCTCTGGAAGAGCAGTACATACTCTTAACCGTTGACCAATCTCTTTAGCCCCTGAATTTCATTTTCATAATCTTGTACCTTTTGCGCTTAGGCAGGGAGATGTTAACTATATTAATTATAACTACCATTTAATTTCTTATAATCACAAGTGTTAAATATAATCTTGAGTATATAAAGAATATTAGAAAATGGTTTATAGCATCAAAATTTGGACTATGTAATAAAGACATATGACTCTATTACATTGCTCTAAGATTTTTTAATCCAATCTGACTTTGATGTTTATATCTATAAATTGTGGTTTTTACACCACAATTTTAACTATGTAGAAAAGGAAAGAATATACAAGTGATTATTTTCCAGCTTCAATTTTTCATTTAAAACTGTTACAAAAATAATTTTACAGGCCGGGCGATGGTGGCACACACCTTTAATCCCAGCACTCAGGAGGCAGAGCCAGGCGGATCTTTGTGAGTTCGAGGTCAGCCTGGTCTACAGAGCGAGATCCAGGAAAGGCATAAAGCTACACAGAGAAACCCTGTCTCAAAAAACCAAAATTATTATTATTATTATTTTACAATTCTGAAGCCTCATCTTAAAGCCTACGTTAACTGATGGCTTAAAACAATATAATTTCAAATGCTGTATATGACAAGCCCATGATCAACACCATGCTAAATGTAGCAAAGCTCGAAGCAATCCCACTACAATCAGGAGCAAGGCCAAGTTGTCCACTCTTGCTACACACATTTACCACAGTTCACATGTAAAATTACAAGGACAACATGTAGGAATTGGTTCTCTCTGTCCATCATGTAGGCTCCAGGAATCAAACTCAGGTCATCAGGCTTGGCAACAAGCACCCATACCTGCTAGGAAATCTTACCAGTCAAAAATCTACTATTTCGTATGCCAATTTAAAAAATATAAGTTAAAAGAAAATTAGATTTAGAAGGGAGATATCCTACAGACTCTTGCCAGCCCCCTTGGTTGCCCACCAGAACTAAATGGTGAGATTCTATTACTGAAGGCACTACATTCCTTAGCTGTAAGATATAGAGAAACCAAGAAACCAAGCTAGAGCTGGGATGGACACATCCTCCTGCTGACTGGATTTCACAGTGCTGATAGGCAGAGTAGGACATCAGTAGTCTTACCCAGCTGTGAACCCTGGGAAGTACACCACTAACCCAGCAGGCAAGACATGCTATGCTCAGTGGTGGCCTGACTGTGATGGGGTCAACCAACTATGCTCTATTGGATTTAAGGCCTGCTCTGCTAGAGGGAATCCATGCCAGGTGCTACAAACCAGTTGAGAAATCCATGGTATAGAGACTAACTGTCAAAGAACAAATTAAACACACACACACACACACACACACACACACACACAATTTCATTCCTTAAAATTAAGGGCTTCATTATTTAATTACCTTTCTGAAAAGAATGGTTTCTATTTATCTCTGTCATAAGAATGTGGCTACTTGGGGGCTGGAGAGATGGCTCAGCAGTTAAGAGCACTAGCTGTTCTTCTAGAGGTCCTGAGTTTAATTCCCAGCAACCACATGGTGGCTCACAACCATCTGTAATGAGATCTGGCGCCCTCTTCTGGCATGCAGGCAGAACACCGTATACATAATAAATAAATCTTTTTTTTTTTTTTTTTTTTTTTGGTTTTTTGAGACAGGGTTTCTCTGTGTAGTTTTGCGCCTTTCCTGGAACTCGCTCTGTAGACCAGGCTGGCCTTGAACTCAAAGAGATCCGTCTGCCTCTGCCTCCCGAGTGCTGGGATTAAAGGTGTGCTTGCTGCACCACCACCACCACCACCACCACCACCACCACCACTGCCTGGCTAAATAAATAAAAGTTAAAAAAAAAAAAAAAAAGAATATGGCTACTTGGTTCCCAAATGCAGTACTTGTTTGTTTCATCCTTTGAGACGAAGATAACCCTGTGGTTAAAGGAAGCAACTAATAAAGCTATCATATGCATGCATTTTATTCTTGCAATTCAAATCAAATACACTTAAAACTAAAGCATCAAACTGCATTATTTGGCTCAATGACTAAGCAACCTGGCAATTCCACAGACAGAATAGCATTTACTTCTCTTAGAAAACACTTTTAGGTGACAAAGGATCCCATCATAGTAACATTTTCACAAGTCTGTCCCTCTACAAGCCCAAATGAGAGACACAGGTCACCCAAGACAGGCTAAGGTCAGCACTCCTCCAAATCACCATCACTTAAAGCATCTGTGCAACATTTGGTGAGGACGGAGGCAAAGGCAGCATGAGCGGCTCCTCTTTCTGCATCCTTTTGTAATGTGTTTTTAATTCCACTTGAGGGCACTCTCTACTTCAACAGAAATGGAGTAATTTCTATCTGCCACTTACATAACACACCTGTGGACACCTCAATCTTAGCCCCACATAAACAAAATCCCTCAAAAGGGCATGCAAGAAACTACACAACCCCTTAATGTGGCTCTGTGCCTCTGAGGCACCAAAATAAAGTGTTTGGTTTTTTATTTTACTAAAATGCTATTAGTATGTCAGCATTTTTCAAGAAAGGAAATCACTTTTTCTCAATGACTAAGTTATCATTAGAAATATAGATTATTATTAGTGAGCCTCAATATATAAGGCTATTTATTACTTCATTAGAAAGCTTTCCATCCTGTCCTCTGGCTCTCTTTCCTGTTTTTTATAAATCATAGTCTATACTTGTATGTCCCTCTTGCAATCAGCCATTTTCTGTGATTTCCTGCAGTCTGTCTTTGACTCTTTTTGCAGCCTCCTGCTTTCCACTTTACTGTTTCTAATCAGTTCTAAGAAGTGAGGTGATTAGCTGGGCGGTGGTGGTGCAAGCCTTTAATCCCAGCATTCAGGAGGCAGAGGCAGGCAGATTTCGAGACCAGCCTGGTCTACAGAGTGAGTTCCAGGACAGCCAGGGCTGTTACACAGAGAAGGCCTGTCTCGAGGAAAAAAAAAAAAAAGACGACGACGACGAAGTGAGGTGATAAGGTATGTTTCTGTATCTGAAAAGAAGCAAAAAACAAAGAGGAACAGACAAAATCTAGAAGTCTGAAGAGTAAGGTGCATAAAGCCTTATTACAAAGATATTCTTGAGACTGTTCCCAGAGGTTGAGGCAGTCAAAAAGAAGTGAGTTATTGCTGGGGGGGGGGGGGTGTTTCTCTTTAAAATGCACAATTTTGGCCAAAAACATTTCATAGCTATTTTATTTTTAAAATAAATTCTTTTTATTTCTAAAATTTTCTAAAACCGGGTGTCTTTAAGTAGTAAACTAGAAACTGCCTATTCTATTGGTTCTCTAACTAATGCCACAATTTGAAATAAAAAACATTAGTGTTAATGAAATATTATCAAAGCAAAACAAATCACTGCATGTCTGCATGTGTTTTAGGACATTATCTTATAAATGAATTTGATTACAAAATTGCCTTTTGCAGCTCATTAAAGGAAGCAGTCCACAGTTTAAAAAAAAATATAGCTCCTTGGTTTGTAAAAAGGTTCATGGAAATAAACAGAAGTTTTAAAGCACCATTTTTAAAGTGAACCCGACAAAGAGTGATGAATGTCTGCCAACTTGTTGCACAAGTGAACCTGAGTTTATACTCAGTAATAAGACAGTCACAACAGACAACTAGAATAGTCAAAACGAACATTACAAAATACTTTTTTAAGGTATTATCCAAATATAAGAAACATGTGTGACCTTCCCTCTTTTAGAAGGGATATATTAAGAATACTTTTGAGGGAGCAGGAGGAGGGATGAGAGGGGGATCTGTGGTTGGTATGTAAAATGAATAAAAAAATTTTTTTAATGTAAAGAAAGAATATGTTTGAAACACATTACAATTAATTTCCTTTATTACAAATAATAAAGTTGAAAGAAGAACTTATGGCTCTTTCTACATATATACTTGATGATAAACCAAATAATCATTTATCATCTCAAGATATCAGCATTACAAAAGAAATGCACTAACATATCTTTCCTCCCACTGTAGTGATGGATGTAATGCCAACATTCTCATTCCACTGGGATCCTCACAGTAGCTAAAGTCTTAGAACCCCAAGTAATAAAAATAGCCTCAAGACTCTACAAAGAGGAACATCAAAATCCCATTGTGAGTTCTTTCCAGATCAGGGTTTAGTATTCTGATACAGTCAGGGTTAGACGCTAAAATCTATAGACTTTAAGTAAGGTGTGATGACTGCTTCCCACCCACTCAGCTTCTGCTTTAAATACAGGTCATGACTGCTGTAATACAGCACAAGGAAAGGAAGTCCCACCAAGTTCACAGTGAAGAGGATGGGGTTAGAGTGAGGGAGAATTTTTCAATTGTACTCTCTTGTTACTTGGCAAATGGAATCACTGTGAAAGTGAGTATATCACGAACAATTCATCTAAACACTGTCTCAGGTCAGACTGGGTAACAGCGATCGTGTATTTTGAAAATTAATGACGTACTGAAAGAAGAGTATCAAAGAGCTAGGACACAGCAGTGTGTTCAGCCTCAAACAAGGATGAACAGAGGCTTTTCTTTCTTTTTTGAGGGCACTGGAGACAAGGGAACAGGAAAGAATCACAGAGCTTTGCAATCATATCTGTTTATATGAGCTTGTTGATGACCTGAATGCTGAGTAAAGGAGCGTTTCGTTATATTAAGATAAAAATCATTAAACTAAATGAGGGTTGAAAAATATAAATGTTGACCAATTTCCAATAAATGAAATGAAAAGATGATCCAGATATAAGTCCTACAACAAATATTAACAATCAGAATTACCAAGTTCTAAAAAACACAGTACAAATGGTCATTTGCTACACAAAAATGCTAACTGTTAACTTTTCTAGACTATAAGACATCTTGATATCAGCTCAAGTGATCAGGTTGTACCATCCCTAATAAACTCACAAAAAACAGATGCGATTCAAGAACTTCTGGCATTTTCTGAGGTAGCCTTATTTTTCTAAAACACCACAAGAAGCTTTCTAAATCAGCATAGAAATTTCATTACTAAATCCTGCCCAAATCATAAATGGTAAAGAGGTAGGCAGGCTGGCATGGATACTCAAGAGACACATCTTTTTCCAAATGCTTCAAGACAGCTAGAATGACTATTATTTTAAGAAAAAACAACTCTCACTAAAAGAACAAGTTGTTAAATGCCTCAACAGTAAACAGAAATACAGAGATTTCAAGTCCAGAATAAACGTGTGACACAAGGAGACAGTCCCTACAACAAGTGGGTCTTACAAGGTCTAACAAAGAAAAAGTCTGGTTCTTGCATCTACAGTCTTATCAGGAGGACAGGAACAATACTGTCCCTTGAGTTAAACCTAGCCACTGTGCTCTAAAACCATGACCTCCCCCCCCCCCCCCCAATTCAGGGCCTAGGTTGAAAAACTTGATTAGCTTAGGTGGGAACAATGAAAGCCAAAATGCTATTTCCTTATCCTTTTTAAGTGACTAAAAGTTTCTACCATGTTAAAAGTACGATCAAGAAACAGGAAACATGACTTTGGCCTAAGACATCATTAATTCTCCGGATAAATGAAATCACAATCAGTTTTAGACTATGCTGTTACACATGTAAGTAGAAACAAGGAAAAATGTCACAATTATGAAACCAAGTTGCTTCCAGCTTCATTTGAAACTGGCTTCCTAGCCTCATACCACCTATGACGTGTTTAAAAAGAAATAACAAAGAAATTTAAGATCACAGTATACAAACCAGGAACAAAAGACTAGTATAGTTTGATGAGCAGGATAATTACTGTCCTATTTAAAGACTTCCTTAAATCCCTTAACCACAGTTTAGGTTATCTGCTGTCTGATGTTATTTTATATAACAAGTTCCTGGCCTTGTCAGCTCATCTCAAAAGTTACCACTCCAAACAAGGATTTCTTTGAAAGAATATCTTAAAATTTTGCAGCAGAACATTAGAGAATGTTCTGGGTATTGTCAACATTCAAATGACATGAACTTCACTAAGAATTTCCAGCAAGTCATTTTCTCTTAATACTGTTCAAGTGCAAATCCACCCACTACCCAGCACGGAGCAGCAGGCTAAATTCCTGGGGCCACTCAACCTACTTGCGGGATGAGGGGGTGTGCAGGAGACTGACACTTGAATGCACGCCCTCTTGAGGCCTGCATTCTTCTCTAGAGCCAATGATTACAGAAATGAACAATCTTATTAAGATTCCCTAATTAGCCCCAACTTACAAAAAAAAAAAAGGGGGGGGGGTATGAATGAATGCTCCTCTAAGGAGACAACTCTCCAGGGAAAATCAGAGAGAGAACAGTGGGGGTTGGGGGATTGCAAGGCTTGATGGCTAGAAGATGGCAAACTCTTAAAACATGCAAATGCCAAGGGGTGGAATGGAAAAGGATGCCAAGGACATGAATAACCTGGCAGCTGACCCAGCCGAACTCAGCTCGAGACCGTGATCTTCATTCACGACTTCGCGATTCTCCTCCACCGCCGACCGTGACAATAAAAGGCAGGAGAGGTACCTGTCTCAACAGGGCACACCTTCCAACTACATCTACACAACAGTGCCAACCCATCCTCCCCGCTACACCAGGGAAACTGAAAGAGAAAAGCAGAACACGCCATCAGCGAGGCCAGACTGCTCTTCCGGGAGAGGAGCCACCAGGAGCCCCGCAAACAACACAGGCACAGAGTACCATAACCCGGGGCTCTCCGTGCCTCCCGCAGCCCTTGCGAGCCAGCGAGAGTCCCGGCCTCAGTTTCCCCGTCTGTCAACGACGGCGGGCCAAAGAGGGAGACTGAGTCCTGCGCTGCTCCCACCCAAGCCCTCCGGTCCGGGAGTCCGGCGACTCGGGAGCCCTCCCGGAGGCTAGAGGTGGGCAGCCGCGGCGGACGTCAGAGGCTCGGCGGCCCGGGGCAGCTAACGGGCGGGCGCTGAGGCCCGACGGTCGCCTCAGCGGCTCAGGGAGCCCGAGGCAGAGCAGGGACGCCGGGAACCTGGCCTCAGCCGCTCGGCCGCGCTCACTCACCCTCCTCGGCCGCCGCTCAAAGACCCGGCCCCGGCTTCAGAGCCGGCGTCCCCGGGCCGGCCCGGCGCCCCACACCCACCACCCTAGTATTTACCTCAGGCTCGCGGGGGCCCCCGCGCAGCCGAACCTGCTACCTGGGCCCGCCCCCACCTGCCCCGCCTCCGAACCGCCCGCGGGGAGGGAGGAGCGGGGGCGGAGAGGGCAGACGCCGCGCCAGCCAATCGTATCCAGAGATTCGTCCCTGCGCGCGCTCTGATTGGGTCTTCCCGCAACAGACCTCCCTCCAATGGCTGCGGGCGTGGCGTCGGCTGAAGGGACTTTCCGCTCGGTCAAGCTCGGTGGAGCCAAAGGGAAAGCGAAGGGGCGGGGCACAAGGGGGGCAGAAGAGAAAGGGTGGGGGCGAGGAGCGATGGCTGATTGGACAAAAGGCTGAGGATGCCACGTCACCATTGGCTGAAACCAGACCTGGGCGGGGCGCTGTGCTCCCAGCTCCGCCTCCGTTGCGCGGGTCTTGGCTCTTGGCTTAGCTGTCAAAACTGGGGTGGGAAGAGATCCAGAGGAGAGCTGAGAATTGTTTTTCAGAATTCCATGAAAGATCAAAGCTTAGAATCACACCTAAGAGTCAATGTTTTCTTGCTCAATTATTCTCCTTGTGACATGGGGAACTCCCAACCATGCTGAGCCTCAATGTCCTCATCTGTAGAATGGAGGTGTTAGTACACCTGTCTTACCGGATTCTTGTGAAATGCTACATAGTATCTCCTAGCAGTAGGCGCGCAGTAAAAGTTGCAGCTCTTCCTGCCTTCAGATGGGGTCTGGAACACCTGCTGGTTTTGAACCTCTGTGGCCACCTATCCCAGGTTGAAGAGAGTCTCCTAAGGATAGAGAAAGGATTTCCACCCCCCACCCCCCACCCACACACACCTTACCCAAGCTTGCACCGCTGGCCACCAGCCAGATTTGGGGTATAGTTAAGGATCTTTCAATTAGAAGGGAGGCTTCTGACTCCCAAAAGTGCTCAAAATATTTAAGGAAACTCTTTTTATAATCAGCCCAGAGCCTGGCAGTACATGCCTTGCTTCAGTGGATAGTTCTCTTAATTAATTCCTTCTCCTTTGACATTTTAACTACTAATTATGGGAGAAGGTGATTAATACTGAGAAAGAAGGAGGTGTGTGTGTGTGTGTGTGTGTGTGTGTGTGTGTGTGTGTGTGTGTGTTTAATCGTGACACAAATTCCCCCAGTGGAAAGTGGCATGTTTCTGAAAATCCAAAGAATTGAAACCAATGAGAACCTAAAAGCGGGCAGACACATGGGTGATTACTAACAGTATAAACTAACCACAACTCTCCATGCCGAAATCACCCATGATGAAATTGATATCTTTTGTAAGCCTAAGCCTCAGTCCACTCCTGTTTTTCATTGGTACACATACATCCTGTTCCCAGCTTCCTGAGCTCCAGCGAGAAGCTGGCCTTGGGCAACAACATTCCCCTGTAGATCTGGATTCCCCTGTGACCCTGGCGGGACTCGGAGATCCAATCTGGCTGTGTGGGAGAAGGTTTCAGCCTGAAAACTGGTTTTTCTCGACTCCATCCAACAAGGAAGAGAAAGGAGTTGAGGAAGTGGACTCTGGGAATCTTTCAACCATGCAAGCACTCTTGTTTTCCCCAGCTTGCCACGGTCCTACCCATTCTGTTTTCTCTCCTCAGATCCTTTCTCTTGTGCGCATTGTCCATCGACTGGCCACTCCTGGCCACAGCGGCCACACATCCCACTTAGCCCTCCTCTAGTCACATGCTCACAGAATCAGGGTCAGGGCCTGACTTCATCCAAGACCATCAGCTAAGCCAAGCCAGCCTCCCACCCAGGCTCTTCTTAGTCACCGTCCCCCGTCAGTTGGTACTGGCTGCCTAGACTTGAGCCGACACGATGCCGAAGCTGTATGTTCAGGCTCAAGAGATACCTGCCATGATCTGAAAAGGAGAAGCGTGTCATCGCACTACGTGTGTGTAATTCTTCATCTTCCAGCCTCTCATTTCACAGCAGGAAGAGTAAGGTCCAGAGAGGGAAAACAGATTCTCTCAGTCACACAGCCACTGTTCCCCACTGCCCGTGTTTAAATGGTTTCTCTGACTGAGTGCTTATCATCCCTCCCTAAGCTTCCCTTCTTGTAGGCCCCAGCCTACGTCCCAACTCTCCCAGCAGTCTTTTCCAGATGACTCCAGACCCCTCTGATAGGGGTTTCTCTACCCTCAGCCTGTCCCACCCAACCTGGCCTTGGCTCCATGCAGATTAGGTTGGGTTGCTGAGGAGCTACCAGGAGACTCATGAGCGGACAAGAGGAATGCCTCCATCGGGGAGCACGGAGGAGCCCCCTACTGTCACCATTGACTGGCCCAGTCACAGTTAGGTTAAGAACAGTCTGAGAGGTAGTCTGAGAAGGGAGGGGTGCACTCGGAGGCAGCCTGAAAAGGATCCTGCAAAATAAGAGAGTGATGACGAATGTCAGCAAGAGCTGAGGGAACAATCCGAAGGGAACAGAAAGTGCTTGACATATTGAAGGAACTAAGAAGGGCAAAGCTCTGACAGCATGGCACACTTCATCGGGGCCAGGTGGGGCCTCGTTCCTAGAGCGATGGGGCTTCTTGAAGGGTCTTTAGCCTGGTAGTGAATGTGACTCCAAGCTGTCTTACTCAGTTCTCGTACTGCGTGTGCAGGACCCTCGAACACATGGCCAGTGAATTGGATGCAGCCCCCTGTCGACATTGGTGAATCCAGGTAGCTTTTTAGGAGCTGTGTCAGACACACAGTGGGGACTGAAGGAAACATTTCTTAGTAGTGCTGGCGTGGCCATGACATAGACCCGGCTCCATGCCTCCCGGGGGTTACCCCATGCCTCGCTGAACACTCAGTAAACACTCACTGTGTTTATTTCATGCTTTTCTGCTTATTCCGTATCGGTACTTAACACAACCCAAAGTAGATGTCTGGTGTCTCTGGCCCTCCCCCTCACAGTGATGGTGACTTCTAGTCATGACCCCACAGCCTCCATGGTTCTACTTGGGTTCCCACCAATCCAGTGAACACGGCTCAGAATCAGAATGAGCTCGGAGCCAAGAAGCTACCTTAGACCAGGTATCCTTGCAGGTGAGGCTAGGGTACCATTGCTTCCCCTACAGAAGCCCAGCATGGTGTCTTGACCAGAAATGGGGAGCTGAGACTCCTCCATCACAGATGTATTTATCTCTGTGGAGGGGCTTCACAGCACACCTGAGCACTCCATCTGGAAGCTTTTCCACCGGCCACCTAAAAGCTCTCTTCAATGAGATAAAAAGGATTACATTAAACATCTTTAAACTAATCCAGCTGAGCCCCTGCTCCCCTCTTTGAGCTGTTATCAGTACTTATCAGCGATGAGTGATTTCTGGGGGCGACTCTACAGCACACAGAGGAAAAGGCTTTGTGCTCTTCTCTGACACATTTGCACCACATCTGCGACCCATTTTGGGGGCAATGCACGCACTGAGCATGGTCTCATGTCCAGTATAGCCAAACTTCCTTGGGAAGGAAGCTCTGACGGTGCCATGGAAAGGGGATCCATTCTTCTCATCCGTGCCAGCGCTGGTTTCTGGTCCCATTAAAACCAGCTCATTAAGTGAGCGAGCTCTTCACTTAGCTAAAAAAAAAAAATACACTGAGTGCCTAGTATGTGCTGTGTACCTCTGCAGGCTGGGGACCCTGCAGTGAGCTCCGCCTCTGCTCTCAAGTTGCTGGCATTCCAAGGAAAGTATGTCAGCCTTTGCTAAAGTCTGTGGCTGTGACGAAATACCCGAGGAAATTAACTTGGAAGGAAGAAGGGTCTCTTTTGGCTCAGGGGTTTCCTGGTTGCTTTGGCAAGTTGCTTTGAGCCTATGGTATCAAGCTATCACAGGGTGGCGATCCCTTACCTTGTGGTATGTAGTCAAGAAGCAAAAGCGACATGGCGGAGAGCCAGTGTCCCAATATCTCCCTCAGTGGCACAGTCCCAAATGACAGAAAAGCTCCTAATAGGCTCCAACTCTTAAAGGTTCCACCGCCTCCCCAGAGTGGCACGGATTGGCAATTAGGTGTTCAAAACATGGGACTTTAAGGGATAGTCAAGATCCAAACTTCATCAAGAAGGAGGAGGCGAATGCACACAAGGAGTCCACACTGAGAAGACCCAGAGGCAGGAAGAAGAAAGAGTGGAGATGGGCAGGCTGTTTAGGGAAGAACTCCCTCAAGGAGGCGATGTGTGGCAAAATCCTAAGGAAATAGGCACAAACATGGCACAGGAAACAGGGGTACCACAAGAATGACAGGCAGGTGTGAGGGTCTGGAAGCAGAAAAGCCCTCAGCAAAGCAATACTGTAGAGAACGTGGTGTCAGAGACAAAGGGAACTCCAGAACACACACAGAATGGTCAACTCTGACCTTCCTCTGCACTGGACGGGAAGTCAAAGAGGGCTTCGAGAATAGCAGCAGCTGATCTGACTCAATCTGCAGGCCAGGGGCAGAAGCAAGGAGCCCAGCCAAAGGACCGCTACAGTCAAGGGACCCCTTGTTTCCCAGGATGGAAGCACTGAGCAGGAAGCGGTGGATGTGAGGGAATGTGGAACCGAAGAGGCCAAGAAAGACAAGAGCTAGACACGGTGGGACACACGTGTCACCCCAGCAGTAGGAAGGCTGAGGTAGGAAGATCTCAAGTTCAAAGCCAGCCTGGGCATCATAACAAAATGTCAAAAAAAATTTAAGGGAGAGAGAAGTTCAGAAAGAGAAAAATAAAGGAAGGAAGTTATTCTGATTTTTGGAACGAATGCTGTGTTCCTTAGAACAAAAGTTGCTAGAATGAGTGACAGAGGAGAGCTGTGCTTAGATGGTTGGATGGTGGCTTGTTGGGGAAAATAATTATCGGTTAGGATGGAGTTAAAACAACAGGCACCTCAGGGGAGCACAGCTAAAGAGCTTGGGTTTCCGGTCTACACAGCTTGTCGTCTGTTTGGATGTAACTCTCCAACAGGAAATTGCTCAGCGCAGTCCCCATGTCCTGGATGGCCCGTAGTCATGATCCCAGACCTGAGGCTGAGCATGCACACTGCTGGAACTTCACCCACCACACTGGACCCACTGAGTGGGAGGAGACACCTTGATGATACACTGTTGAAGCAGAGCATCCAGTCTCTGGCCTAGACTCCGCCCACTTCGGACACAGTTCCTCTGTTCACGGTTCCTCTTTTTCAATGTTGAAGACTCAACCCTGGACTGCGCAAAGCAAGTGCTTTCCCGCTGAGCTACACCCCCAGCCTTTTGATCACATTTCAGTGCCATGTATTCATTTCAGTATCTTGTTTCCTGATTGTGGAGGAGGCTGAGGTAGGGGTGAGGGAAATACTCCATGACCACTTTCTCCCAGGATCATGATAAATATAGCTAAAATCTGAAAAGTTTCCTAAACTAAAATCTAGAAAAGTCTCCCACTCTGGTACCTTTTCTTCCACACCAAGAATTAGGTACTTTTGGCCACGTGGGGAAATCTGCAAGGGCCAGGCTAAGCCAAGGGCTACGAGCACATGCGCTTCTCCAGTAACTTTTCAGTCAAAGAAATTTAAGACTGAGAACCTGAGTTCACGGGATACCTGCTGAGGCCAGAGTCCTTTCAGGGTTGTCTGCTGGCCTTTTCAAAGTCTGGAAAGTTCTTCAACTCTGAACTCTGTCAGTAAGGTCCTACCAAGCTGTGGGTGTTGTCTTTGTCCGGGTCTTTGTAATACCTTCTTTTTTTTGTTGTTGTTTTCCTTTTTTTAAATGTTGATTGATTGATTGTTGCTGTTTGAGATGGAGTCTCACGTAGTCCAGGTCGACCTCAACTCAGTACGGAGCCAAAGATGACCCTAACTGTTCTGCTTCTCCCTGCCAAGTGCTGGGATTACTAGTGTGCACCACCACACTTGGCTCCCACCCCTTATTTCCTCCCAGTCTCTCCCTGGAGTCTGCCATCCAGTTCTGAGGACTCCTCACTTCGATGCCGAGGACACCCACCCCACTCTCTCCAGCAGTGCCCTCTCTGGGCTCCAGACTGATACAGTACAACTTGACTTCTCTCGGGCATGGCAAACTTGACCATCTGAAGCAGAAGTTTTTCCTTTCTCAGCTCATTTCCTACCTGCTGTCCCCAGCCCCATGCTCAGAACTAAAATCTGTCGTTCTAGATTCTCCCCTTTCTACCTTTTCCAGATTCTCTCCTATCCACCTGTAAGCCCCTGGCATCCACCTCCACAAGGTCTCTGGGGTCTGTCCTCCTAGGGCCACCTCCCCCACCAATACCCAGCATGCACTAGTTCCTCAGCCTCCTTTCCACTTCCTCCTCTCTCTCTCTCATCCCCACCCCTAGGAATTTGGGTCACATCTCCACCCAGGAGCAAAATTCTTTATTATTAAAGAAAAACTGGATCATATCTCCCCTGCTTAGAACATTCCAATGGCTTGACCTTCTTTTTCTTATTTATGATTTTTGATATAGATTCTTACTACATAGCCCAGGCTGGCCTCAAAAAAAATCCTCCTATTGAGCCTCATGAGTGCTGGGATTACAGGCATGTGCCACAATATTTGCCTTTATTCCAAGGTCAAGACCAGATTCTTGATCATGACCATCAAGAACTGCCCCTACCAACCCATCAAGTGACACCCTCTCCTTGGCTCACAGCAAGCAGAATGTGTTCATTTCCTACAGCTGTAGCAAACTATCACTAACAGAGGGTCTGAAAGTGACACACATGACTCCATCACCTGTAAGTTCAAAGTGGACTGGGCTCCCTCCAAGGCTCTGGGGGGCAGGGGAGGGGAGGCTGCTTCCCTGTCATTCCCAGCTTCCAGACCTGCAGCCATCAGTTCTTAACCCCCCTGTCTGCTTTCGAGGCCAGCAGCATGGCATCTGCTTTAGCTGTCATGGTGCCTTCTCCTGTGTCATGCTGCCACTACCACCATCACCACCTCCACCACCACCATCACCATCACCACCACCACCACCACACCACCACCACCACCACCACCACACCACCACCACCACCACACCACCACCACCTCCACCACCACACCACCACCACCACCACACCACCACCACACCACCACCACCACCACCACACCACCATCACCATCACCACCACCACCACCACACCACCACCACCACCACCACCACACCACCACCACCACCACCACACCACCACCACCACCACCACCACACCACCACCACCACCACACCACCACCACCACCACCTCCACCACCACCATCACCACCACCACCACCTCCACCTCTACCCACCACCATCACCACACCACCACCACCACACCATCACCATCACCATCACCACCACCACCTCCTCCTCCTCCTCTTCCTCCTCCTCCTCCTCCTCCACCACCACCACCACCACCACCACCACCACCACCACCCTGCTTCTCATAAAAACACACACAAGTGACCTGATGTCTTTGGGGACTATTACTCAGCTTGCTGCACATCAAGGATCTTGTCTGAACAGTCTTTGTGCCGTTGGCTCCATGGCATTGAAAGCCCCACTGCTCACTCACTGGTGGCCTGATCAGCTCCTTTCCATGAGGACAGAGCTTTCCTAGCTCATCAGAAGAAAGTTCCCTGGCCTGCTGTCTCTGTTTATTTCTCAGTAACTCAGCTCTCCTTTGAGGCAGACATGAACACCCGAGACAGCAGCACAGGAGCAGGAAAGGCTTAGGTGGGCTGACTAGTCTCTCGGCCTTGTTGCTGTGGACCTATGGCAGTGAGCCACAGCAGAGACATGGTCATAGAATCTGTTTGTCTCATGGTAGACAAGAAGCAAGAGAGATCAGAAAGGGTCAGAGGTCCTGATATCCCTGTGAAGAGCATGACCCCCGATGACCTCACTTCTCTCCATGAGGCCCCACTTCCTCCAGTTTTACCTCCAACAGCATCAGAAGCCAGGCACCAAGGCATCAGTGTCCGGGCCTCTGAGGAACACTGAAGTCCTAGCTATAGCAGTTTCCTTCCAGTACTTTAATAAAAAAATATTATTTTATACACGCACTTTTAACGGACTTGCTTTCTGCCCACCTTTCCCTCTGTCCTCACCCTGGTGCTTTGAAGACAAGGACAACGGCCAATTGTTCTGACATAACTAGTTAATAAGTTATTACTGAAGATGAGCTTACCATCCAACATGGTGCTGTGCAAATAGCCACTGTATTTCCTCCGTAGAGAAGGTGGCCCCATCCCTGCTTCCCCCCGATCATCTATCTGTACCACCAACGCAGGCAGGGCAAAGCCCCAGGAACAAAGAGAGCCCACGGATACACACACACACACACACACACACACACACACACACACACACACACATACACACACACACACACACACACACACACACACAGAGGAATAGGCCCCAACATTTAGCAAACCAGACACACAGAAGACCTCCAAGGACGCAGGCCTCCCCCACAGCCAGCAGCCACCAGTGTGCCTGCTCCTGGTGAATGGCTAAGTCTCATGTCAGGGAGGCCAGTGCAGAAGGCTGCTGGCAGAGGACAGCCACACACCTGCCATCGTCACCTTCCTCCTGCTAAAAGGCTCCTACTCCCACAGCCACTTGGAAAGAACTAAAGAAGGCCCAGGGGGCTGTCCCCATGGGCCCTATGGGGCTCCGGAACAGCTTCACATTTCATGCTGGGTTAGACTCTGCTAACTTGAAGCCAAATGTGTTTTGACTGCCAGCAATTTCTAAGAATTGCCTTTGCACCAAGCAATAAATTACCCGATAGAAAACAGCATTGTCCCCTCATTGTAGAACATGGAACTTTAAAAATTTGACAGGTTTGAGGAATATTTTTAAATGTTTCATCACAATGAACACAGCTTTGGTAACTCAATAGGTTTCACCTCTGTGGTTATTTATAACAGAAAGTTCATGACCACATTTTCTATAAAAGTACCAACTTAAAATAAAACAATGCAGTTTAATAAATATTAACCTGTTTTCACACATAATGATATGGAAGACAATAAAATCTGTGTAATTTACAAATTACAAAGGTGGCATTTTGAAAAACACAAAAAGACCTTGCTTAGAAAAAAAAAAGGCCCAGTTTTGTCCCCTGCAAACCTCCAACCCCTGACTCTATATCCTATAGCATTCTGTCACAGATAAAATAGAGCTGTCTTTTATGAATATGCCTTAGAAGCCCGTTGTCAGAGTTTGGTTCACAGGCACCAACTCAAGGCCTGGTGGGGTTGTTTGAAATTCTGGCCCAGATTAATTCTAAAAAGCTTCAGCTGGGGGAGGGATGGATTCCAAAGGCTCAGCTACAGAGTAACGGATGTTACTGGAAACCCAAGTCCACGTGTGTCCCAGCTGGAGCGTGCTCATGTTTTGCTTGGAAATCTAGAATATCCCAGAGGCAAATGGCTGTTATTTGTGTTAAGAAAGGAGAGCAGGATAGGTATTATGTTGGCTGTCTGGGTTGAGGTCCTGTTGGGCTTCATGCAGGGTGAGTTGGGGAGACCAGAGTGGGATGCCCTTAGAGGGTGAGCTGAGTCCAGACGTAGCTAAGAGCTGTTTCCTGAATATTCCTCTCCAAGAGAGAGGAGGGGGGTGTCTTGCATGTGGGTCTAGGTCTCCACACCAACAGACCCTGAGTTGCCATCCATGGATCTGACCGACCCCCATCAGAACCCTGGTCGTTCAGCTGGAGGCCAGCCACATACTGACAGAGGCAGCCTCCTGTGTTCACCACATGCTTAGAGCCTAGAAAAGAAAAAAGAGCAAAAGCAGGTGCATTAGCCAGAGTTCTTCTGAGGAACAGAACCAACAGGGTGGGTGGGAGGAGGGAGAGAAAAAGGGAAGGGGGAGGGGAGGAGGGAGAAGAAGGAAAGGGAATTTCCCAGATCCACTTACACCATCAGGACTGGGTAGTCCAACAATGGCCATCTGGAGAGGCAGAGAATCTGGTAGCTGCCCAGACCAAGAAGCAGAACACCTTAGCAGTTCCATCAGCTCGAGGCCTGGAAGATCCCTAAAATGTCGCTGGTGATGGGTCCATGTTGAAAGACCGAAGAAGCTGGAGTCTGCTGTCCTATAGTGATGGCAGCCATCACAGAAGTCCTCACTCAGGAAGGGGAGGGGCTCGTGCATGCAATATGCTGTCTTCCTCCTCCTCAACTTTGTCCCATGGGGCACCCAGTGGATTGTGCTACCCACATTCAGTCAGGTCCTTTCCCCTCTCAGTTACTGTCCTATATGATGGCCCTCTCTAGACACCCACAGAAATGCAGTCCTCTAGTCCCACTTGTCTCTTAAACCAGTTCAGTTAACCAAGACCACCCATCATGCATCCTTGGGAAAAGTCAATTCTGGAGGGCACTGGAGCACCTTATTCTGCTCTCACAAGGTGACTATAGTGCTCCCAGGGAAAATGTCCAGCCCTGAGTAGCACATGGATACTGCCTGAAGCTATTCAGCCTCCAGAGTCCAAGCTTCCAGGGCTGTGACATCACAGCAGGAGTCTACTGTCACTGGAGCTGAGTGTTTCAATTTCTTCCAGGGAGAAGGTGTTCCCTCGTAGCCTGCAGGGATGAAAGGCAGTGAGAGCTGAGTGAAGACAAGCCTGAGTGAAGGCTTGCATGGAGAGTGGCCACCCTTCAACCCATACTGGGAGGGGCTGAGGCTCAGTCCCAGCCAGGCTCACTAGATGGAAGGGGTTCTCATTTTACCATCTGCCATCCAGGACTGTCTGGACCACCCCACAGGATCAGCAACACTGGGCCATGCCAGCTACAGACTCCCGGGGCCAGCTGTTCTTTTTCAGGCACTAATCACATCTGTTAAGAATGAAGTGAGCAAAGTCCATGCCCACACAGCTTCATCCATCAGCAGCAAGGGGCATTGGAACCCTTAAGTAGCAGCCTGAGACTGGTCTACTGGACAACAGAATGTGACGTTCCTCAGGCCTGTGCAATGATTTAAAAACAACCAAAAAGCAAACAAACGTGCTGTCTCAAATGCTAGACTACCTGACTTCCCCAACAACGAGACTTCAAAATCACACAGGAAGCAAAGTGTCCCAGCCCAGGGGATTTCAGCTTTGGTTTCAATTTTAGTATTTGAGATCTGTTTGCTATTGTACAAAACACAAGTGCTGATGGGAACTGTCTAGGTAATAGGCCTTGTGGGTCTGCAGCCAGATCTAAGAGTCTGCCCATCCAAGAAAGGCCGAGTTTTCCTCCACCCTGGTTAAATGTCTGGCATTGAGAATGGTCGGGCCAGGCACAGTGATGCACACCTGTAATCCCAGGCCTTGGAAGGGAGGCAGAAGAATTGGGAGTTTATCCTTGGCCTACACAGTGAGTCTGAAACCAGCCTGGGCTACATGAGATTCTGTCTGAGATTGAGGGTGGGGATGGGTGCGCAGGAGGATAGAGAAAATAGGGCCCCAGAGTGGACAGCAATTTTGAGAAAATACTGTAAAGTGTGCTTGTTTTGTTTGGAGCTAGGCTCTTGCCCAGATTTGCTGGAACTTACAATCTTGCCTCAGTTTCCTAAGTATTAGCATTATAGGCATATACCATATAGGCATATGCCTGATCTGAAATACAGACTCATAGGGACTCTCTTAGTTTTAAAATATTGATACCTAGGTCAATGCCTGAAACACACAAATAGTAATTTTCTCTCATTATATGATAAGCCAGATCATTCCTTTCTGCTTTTTACATGAGACATAGGAGCCTAAATCAAGTGGTATCTGGATGCCTTTTCCAAACACATGAAGAACTGTGGCTTTTCATGATACAGATGTAGCCGCGCCATACTGCAGTCCCCACCCTGTGTAATCTCCAGAATTCAAAGGTGCAGAGGGTCTCACATAGCATCCTCAATCTGTAAGCGCAGATGTCATGGCCAAAAGGGAGGAACAGGCTCTTGTTTGAATTATCTACCCACGCCCCATTCCTACTTTGCAGCTTAGAACACCAGTTTCAGAATAAATACTCCTGATTTGACACTTCCATTTTTTGTCTTCCTTCTTTCCTTTCTTTCTTCCTCCCTCCCTCCCTCCCTCCCTCCCTCTCTCCCTCCATTTCTTTCTTCTTTCTTTCTTTCTTTCTTTCTTTCTTTCTTTCTTTCTTTCTTTCTTTCTTTCTTTCTTTCTATTTTTGTTCGTTCATTCTGTCTGTCAGTCTATCTGCCTGCTAGGCTGACTTAAAATTCAAAATCCTCCTGTCTCACCAGGTGGCGGTGGTACAAGCCTTGAGCACTCAGGGGACAGAGGCAGGTGGATCTCTCTGAGTCTGAGGCCAGCCCAGTCTCAGAATGAGCTCTAGGACAGCCAAGACTACACAGAGAAACCCTGTGTAGAAAAACAAAACAAAACAAAATCCTCCTGTCCCGGCCTCTTGAGCACTGGGATTACAGTTACACACCATCACACCCAGTACTACTTCTGATTTTGAGCAAAACTGGCCCCTCCTTAAGAGAGACAGACCTCCTTTACAGCCAGAGGTCTAAATCTATTGTATGCAGAACAATATCTAATGTGGGTCAAACTCATCTTCAAAATCCCACCATTCCTTTCTCCTCTCATCCCATCTACAGGTAGGAAAAACTAAGCTTGGGAAGGCAAAGAAGTTTCCCCAACTACCTTACCAAACTTCCAGAATGGTACTGTTCCTGCTGAGGGCCTGAAGGAGGGCTTCTGCGCCCCGGTAGGTAATGCCGTTGTTGGACAGCCTGGAAGAGAGGTAGACAAGACGTGCTGCTATAACACTTGGTCTTCTGCCGAGCCTGTCTGGTTTCAGGAAACCTGCCACACAAGCCCAGTGAGATCATCCACAAGGGCCAATGTTCCTGTGAAGAGAGCCCCTTTTCCACTCACCAAAGTAGCCACACATGAAGGACATAAGGGATGAGCCCTACAGTTCAGTGCCAGGCTTCCAAGGGTTCAGATCCAACCTCTACCGTAATTTTCCATTCAGTCTTCAGCAAGTCTGTCTGAATAAGGAAGTGCCTGCCTCACAGAGAGTAAGAACTGAACAGAAAATGGCATAGCAAGAGCTCTTGGCCCAGCGCCTCATGGATAGTGAGTACCTCACAAACAGAGATGCACGGGGACATAGGTTAGAGACAGAGCCTGGGACAGGATCGGATCCACACTGGAAACTTCTGCTCCCAGCCTTGCCTTCTAGGAACTTCTGCCCCATCTGCCTTCCTCCCTAGCACTGGCCTGCTGCACATCTGCCATCAAAGCGATGCTAAGAACAATGCCAGCATGTGCTAAGCTTTTCCTGTGGGCCAGCTCTCTGCCTGTTACGTCAGTGCATGCTCAGAACCCATGAGGAGGCCAATTACTATCCCTTTACACTTGAGGCAGCTCAGGCATCTGTCCAAGGAGAGACTGTCTGCCTGTGAAGCCTGGACTCCAACCAACACTTGGCAGAGAAGACAGTGGAAAAGAAAGAGGTGGGAGCCCTCTCTCTCTCTCTCTCTCTCTCTCTCTCTCTCTCTCTCTCTCCATCCCATTTCTCTTTCTTTGTCTCCTCACATATATATAGATATAGATATGAGGACTACTTGGGATGCTGAATAACCAGGTAACACAGGACACCCCCCACTTCCGCCATCGCCTGGCCTCCTTAAGGTCAAGTGAGGCAAAGTGTAGCAATGAGGAAGGACAAACCTGCCACATCCACACCCGATCCAGGATGTACCAAGTGTCGCCACGTGCCCCAACAGCACGCGCTGTTCCGTGCACCTGATGTGCCTCCCGGGCCTCAGCGTGACGGGGGCCTTTCTAGTTTGAATTCAAACCCCACCTTCTTGAAGGTCTTTGGCGTCCAGCTGGCAGCAACCACACTTCCCTCCCAGCCAGAAATGAGCCTTTTGTTTGCCTCTGTCTCCACCATCAGAATCCGAGAACTGGGAGAATGAGAGCCTGCTCTGTCTGTCCTTTCCACCTGGCACAGAGTTGGGGCAGGACCACTTCCTATACAAATGCACAGATGAGTGTGCAAACCTTTGTCCAACCCATGGATGAACGCACACATGAGCAACCACCAGCACTCAAAGCACATGTCACACCAGGAGAAACCACTGGAGATGACCATCCAAATAGCCCTTCTGCCTGAGCAGCAATGGCCCCCGGAGGAAGGAGGAAACCTTTGGATCACGCAGCAGGTACATTCAGTCAGCCTGCCCACCCACACTCCCTCAACTTACATTTCCAATTCCGAGTGTTGCTTGCTGAGATCTGCCACTCTCTAGAGCAGTGTTTCTTAACCTTCCCAAGGCTTCGACCTTTTAACACAGTTCCCCATGTTGTGGTGACCCCCCCAACCATAAAATTATTTTCCTTGCTACTTCATAACTGAAATTTTGCCAGTGTTATGATCTGTAATGTAAATATTTGGGTTTTCTGATGGTCTTAGGAGACTCTGTGAAAGGGTCACTCAACCCCCAGGTTGAGAACCAGTGCTCTAGACTCTTGGAGCAAGCTCAGCCACGTGGGAGTAAGCTGGAAGTTCAGGACAACAGACAGCCCCACAGACACATTTCTTGCAAAAGGGCATGCATTTGAGAATAAGCATCCTGCCGCTCCACTCTTGAATTGGGTAGGTGTCAGGCATGCTCTGCCAACTCCTGGAGGCCCCAGCAGCATGAGTTCTAATCTCCTCAGTGATAACCAACCCCAGGTCCACCCTCTCTGTGGTCACCATCCCTTCCTGCCACACTAAACCTCTCCTCCTGCAGTGTTTCCCAGGACCACCCAGATGCCAGGTAAGCGCTGAGCACTGACATCCTTATCTGCCCAGACCAAGGCAAGCTTTCCCCACCAGATCCCTCGGTGAGGTTCCAGAGCTGGCCAGAGCCAGGTCTTGGACCCTAAAACCCCTCCTCAGGCTGGGCATTATTGTACTATCATGCGGTACTTACTTCAAGATTTTCAAACTTGAGTTTCTCTTTAGTCCTTCGGCGAGAAAACACACCCCTTCGTCACAGACATGGTTTTCCTCCAGGCTGCCAAAAACAAAAATGAGGTCAAGTTGTCCTGGTGACACTGACGGTTAAGGAAGAGTTAACCTATACCCCCACCCCATTTAGAGACTCCCAATACTCAGCAAGAATAAGAAAAGACAAGAGGGGTGAGGAGTGTCAATTCCAGGGACAGCTTTGCAAGGGAACTCACTCCACAGCGCCACAATATAAAAATCCCCATCCATGCAAAGCTATGAATACTCTTGTTGCTTTCTTTCCTAGATTAACAAGAAACTTTATTTTGGTGTGAGAAGCTATGTTCTTCAAGAAGAAAATGCATCCCCTGCTTTCCGCTGCAACCAGAATTGGCCAAGCGACACACACAGAGCCATGGATACGCAGGGAAAGTTGACAGATGGGAGCTTCCAGGAATGCTCCTGAAAGGGAGGTGTTCTGCCTGCCTTTTGCCCTTGTATAATACAGAGACTGAATCCTGGAAGACAAAAAGTAGTTGCTGCCGAGAGAGCAGTTATCTTGATCACGAGATAAAGACACATGAAGACACAGAGACAGTTGAGGACCTGGCTAGCCTGCTGTAGACACCACTACAGCTCTAAACCACCTACCTCCAGACTTCCAAGACACAAGAAAATAAACCTTTGCCAGCTTGAGCCTCACAGATGGGGGCTTTCTACTGTGTGGTAGAATTAACTTACACTAAATTTGGCCTGAGTTTGCCTCCATACTTTTGAGTTCCTTGCAGCAAACTGCAACTTAATTTAGTATGCAAACAAAGTGCAACCTAACAAGAACATATTCTTGCAGCAAATAGCTTGGTTTCAGACAATCATGACAGCCACACTTCATCAGGTCACAGGCTGGCAGCCCGTCACACCACATCCAAATATTGCCAACAAGCTGTTTCTGTATATGACTTCCTTTTCCTGTCTGTAAACAGTGCTGCCCTTGGTGCTGGGTGGAGCTTTCTGAACCCCTCCTAATTCTAAGTGCCAATCTGTTTATTAATCGGTCTTTGCTCATATAAACTCTGCTAAAACTACTTATCTAAAGTTCCTTTATGCCTATCTAATACCCATATTCCTTTCTTTCTTATATTAATAATAAACCTCATTTTGCTGTGGGAAGCTATGTGCTCAAAACAAACAAACATACAGCATTTTCTACTCTCTGCTATAGCCAGGGTTAGGCAAGCAATCATTCATAATCACAAGCAATACCAGCCAGGTGGTGGTGGCACACACCTTTAATCCCAGCACTCTGGAGGCAGAGCCAGGCAGATCTCTGTGAGTTCGAGGCGAGCTTGGTGTAGAGTGAGATCCAGGACAAGCAACAAAGCTACACAGAGAAACCCTGTCTTGAAAAAAAAATCATAAGCAATACCTCATACAATGAGGTGCTTCTCTACCAAGAAGTGATGAGGGTAATTCCCAATCAGCATATAATCAATGCTACATCCTCAGATCCCAGGCCCCTCCTGCTGTGCAACAGTTTCCTCTCAGATTGAAACATACCACCCTACAGAGAAGCTCCTTAAGCAGGAAGGTAAATAACTCAAAGTAGCTTCAGGAAGTCCCTGAAACTGACAGGATTCACTAGGCTCCTCCCTGCCAGAGTAAACAATAAAAGCTGAGATTCCCACTCAAAGGAGCAAAGCCCAACTGCAAAGAAGACTCTCGGGCAAGTCAAGCTACAAAGACTGAGACCAGACAAGTTGCCTGGAAGAAGTAGAAACCAGCTGAGCTGCCTACAAGAGTTTTAGACCAACTGAGTCACTCTCATTCTTCAACCTGTTGAGCTGCCTGCAGGCTGTGCAGTGTGTTCTAGGTTCCCAGATTTGTGAGCTGTCACCCATTGGGGTGGGCTTTGGTGATGCAGCTGTCATGGAGTTATTTTACATTTATATTACTGCTGCTCCTGTAAGTAGCCCCTTATCTGTATTTCTGCAAGTAACCCCAGTAAAACTCATGGTTCACCAAGTTGGACCTTGGTGGTATCCATACTTTGGTCTGTCATGGGCTCCTTTTCTGGGCTAAGGAGTAGATGTGTATGTTGTGTCTCTCCAGGAAAAGTTTTGTCACATAACATAATTGGCACCTGGCCAGAACCAAAGATAAGTTGGGAAGGAGTGAGTACAGATTCCTAGCTATGCATAGCAAGACAGGCAACGGAGGCTGTTGCTAAGCAGCCTGAGGTGGGGAGCATCCACAAAGGAAATTCCTATAGTTGTCCCTTCCTGTATGGTGTGTGTTAGTATGTCTTTGTCCTAGGACAGCGGTTGCATGGTTCATGCTATGGGTAGTGAGACATGCAACTAAGGTTGAGCCGTCAGGGTTAGCAGTGTCTGTAGGAGGAATCCCAGGGTGGCAGTTGTCTGTGTGGTGTAGGTTGGCATGCCTGCTTGATGAGTGGGGTCCCTCAAGTGAATATGGAGATGCCCTGAAAACAGTTGAATGTCTAGAGGAAATCTTGCAGTCTTTGAGATCAGCACACACAAGGATCAAGACTGTCAGCAAGCAAGGTTGCCTGGCCTCCATTGTGTGTGGTTAGAAATACATCTGAGGCCAAGATGGCGGCCAAGCAGAAACTTGCTAATGTAAAGGAACAATTGCAACCAGAAAGGGAGATGAGACTAGCATCCTCCCAGCTAGCCTCTGACTTGGCAGGTATATTAGATAAACGAGAGGTTGAGAAAGGGTAAAAGTGATTAAGATACCCCTCAAGCCAAACTTTTAGTTAAAAAAAAATTTGAAAAAAAAATGTAATCCAACCTACAGATGGGGGTGGGCATTAACAGTGGTTCGGTGCAAAAACTAGTGTGATCAGAAAATATTCAACACTTAAACTGCTTCATGGGGAAACTTTGAAACAAACAATGAAAGAGCCTGTCTCAGCCTGGCTTGTGAGGCCGTGGGACATGGGAGTGGCTGGGATCAGTCTGACTGCTGTGGAGGCAGAAACACTGCATAATGTGACTTTCCCATCCCTCTTTAAGGCAAAGGCTGCATAACCTACAACTGTCTGAAGGAAATAAGTCCCTGATGGATTGGCTTATTAAAGCCCTAAGAACAATTGCTTATCATCATCTGAAGTGCTCATATCAGGAACTGGGGGACCACAGAGGAGGGGCAAATATTACTGGGGGAACTAGGAATAAGAGAAGCTGTGTTGGAACCCCAGTTCACTGGGTCAGCCAGACCTGTGTTCACGGAGGAGTTAAAGAAAAGATTGCTCCAGCATGGACCTCGGGGCTGGTCTGGAGCCGTAGTGGCTTTGCTGAGCCCTTTGGTGAGGCGAGATCTTTATGAAGTATGGAAAAGGCTTTAGAGGATCTCAGCGACTTAGACCATCATGTGAAAAGAGTCTGTAAGGCGAGACAATGAAGTAAAGGAGAATAAATTTTAAAAAAATAGATAAATGAATGAATGAAAGAAAGAAGGAAAGTCTGTCTGGGTTACTCAAAAACTAATGTGACAAGATTTTTGTCAAGCTGGGGTTTCTAAGGAAAAAATTAAATAAGACGCCACACTGTGAGCTAAGGAGATGCTGGGAGGCTTTAGAACCCAAGGAACAGTTCACAGAAGACATTGGTGAGAAAACAATACAAGTGAAGATGACCAAGGCTGCCCCAGGGTGGGTAATTATCCTCCCAGAGTAAGGCGAGCACATTTCCTTCCAGCAAAAGGTTATGCGAGGGTGGAGGAGATGGTTTGCCCAGCCAGGCTGCAATGAATGGATAGGCAACAGCTGCTGCTGCATCCACAGTGCTGACCCAGGGCCACTCTGACCCAGGGATCCAGCAGGTGCAGCAGAGGCGAGCAGGGCTACTCTCACCTTTGACCCTACGCAGATCTGAACAGATTAAGTCAGGCCCGCTGAGTTCATCCAGTGCAGAGAGACATGGGAAGGCTCTGTGAAAGAGCTCCAGGGTGTGAAAACATAATGGCTCACAGAGAATGACTGAGGGTCCAGGGAGCTAATTAGGTTAGTGCCTCCTATCCATGCTTTGCACCCTACCTTGATCTGTGGAGGAAGCAATCGATGTAAGTGGATGGAACCTTTCCATGCAATATTAACCTTGGCTTACGTTCAACTTTAATATCTTGTTAGTTGTGAACTTCTGGGGTCACCTGATGCTTACTGAGAACACGTGACAACAGACTTTCTGAGTGCTTCACCAAGGTATCTTTATAACCTCACTATTTGTTATGGGATGGTGGCTCAGGATGTTGCCTTGCCCCCCCCCCCCCGCCCCTCCCCCCCGCTTCTGGAAAAGGTTTTGCTTTATAGATGACATAATGCTAATCCCTGAGTGTTTTACAGATTTGAAAAGCCATTAGAGAGCCATAGAGGTAGACTCTAAAGGAACAAGGATGGGAACTCAGTCTGCACCAGGTGCAAGGGTCCAACACAGCTATAAAAATCTTGTGTAATCACGGTCTGGTAAGATGTATATTATACCTGACAATGTTATTGACAAAATCCTGCAACAGCCGGTGCCTGTACATGTAAAGAAGCTACAGGCATCCTGGGGACTCTTGGGACATTGGGAGATTTTCTTTTCTTTTGCTTTCTTTCTTCGTTCTTTCTTTCTTCTTTTTGTTTTGTTTTTTGAGACGAGGTTTCTCTGCGTAACACTAGCTGCCCTGGAACTTGTTCTGTAGACCAGTCTGGCCTCCAACTCAGAGATCCACCTGCCTCTGCCTCCCGGGTGCTGAGATTTAAGACGTGTGCCACCACACCCCGCGATTTTGGCAGACTTTCATGCCCCATCTTGCCTAAGCTTTCTGTCTTCTGTGTAACTTGATAAAGAGTGTTATATAGGATTAGGACAGAGAGGCTCAAGGGGCTTTTGAGCAGGCTAAGATCCTTGTAGAAGAGGCTCAACAGTAGTGTGTCCCCCTACCCCAGTGTCCCTTTCTAGTGGAAATCACCAAGAGTTCAAAAGGCTATAGCTGGCAGCTTTGGCAAGAACAACCTGAACGAATGCTTCCATAGAGTTGTGGTGTCAGTCATAAAAAGAAACAAAAGCTGTGTAGACATCACTTGACCAGCAACTGTAAGAGGTATATAAAACATCCCAGCGGGTCAAGTCCGTAACTGGTTCCACCCCAGTGACTGGAAAATCAGCTTACCCAACCAAGGGCTGGATTGAAGGCCTCCTGAGCAAACTGCTTTCTGGTGTGGCACAAGATCAAACTCAACAAAGATGACATCAATACTTCAAACAAAGAAAGGCGGTGTGTAGCTAGAATTTTCCTGCCTGGCCCACAGTCAGGACAAATCTCTCTCACCTGCCAGTCCCACAGCCGCTCAGACCTGACCAAGTAAACACAGAGACTTATATTGCTTACAAACTGTATGGCTGTGGCAGGTTTCTTGCTAACTGTTCTTACAGCTTAAATTAATCCATTTCCATTAATCTATACCTTGCCACATGGCTCGTGGCTTACCGGCATCTTCACATGCTGTTTGTCATCGTGGCGGCTGGCAGTGTCTCTCTGACTCAGCCTTCCACTTCCCAGCTTTATTCTCTTCCTTGTCCCTCCTATACTTCCTGCCTAGCCAATGGCCAATCAGTGTTTTATTTATTGACTAATCAGCAACACATTTGCCATACAGAACATCCCACAGCAGCAGTGTCTACAAGCTCTAGTACTAATGTCCTACAGGCTGTCCTAGGACCAGTGTCCTTTAAAGCCATTGAGCATCACCCAGTAATTGAACCAACAGCTAAAGCATTTAAATCCAAAGACCTTACATGAGGAAAGAAAGAGAGAGAGGGGCAGGGCAGGGAGGGCAGGCAGGCTTCCAGAGGCTGTAATGGCATTGAATACAAACCCTAGTACCAGAGGTGGGCTACATCCCCGTGAGTTGTTGGCCAGGAAAGCCCCTGAGGACCCTCAAATAAAAACATTGCTACTGCTGTTGTTGCATGCCACAACTAGACAGTAAGACCCTACTGCTGGAAACGCTGCATGCGCATGCTTTCAGGACCACTCCACAAAAGGGAGTTCACATCTGGTGTTGTAATCCAGTATGGCTGAGGAGGTCATGGGTCCCAATGGGAAAACAACTTCGATGGTTTTTCTAGATGGATGTAGTGTGCCTGTCCAGCTGACTTCTAAACGCGTGTTTACACCCATAGATCACTGTTGTTGGCAGCCTCAACTCATAACCACCAGTGAAGCTTCGAAGAACAAGTGACTGTTACTGTGGCATGGTGGCCTGTTTCTTAGCCATAGGTGGACATCTATCATCATCTCCTCCAAGGCTCAAAGACATTGCAAAAGGGGACAAAAAGAATGTAAGAGCCAAAAAAAGAAGTGGAGTGTTGTGCAACAGTTTCTTCTGTGGGAGCCCACAAGGGATTCCTAGTGAGATCTGAGCTTGGTTTACACAGCAGGGCTGCATTAGGGGATGGCTTGACACATGCATGGTCACCAGGTGCCTGGGGTGGTCTGTACTTGGCCGTGCTAGGGGGAGATCTTTTGCTCCACCCCTTGGCACTCCTTTAAAAGCCCATTAGTAGAGACAGAAGGGGCTAGTGGGTTTTGACCCAGGCCCTCCTGAAGCTATCCTGTGTTTTTATCTGTCTCTCTCCTCTATATTTCTATCTACATATTCCTCATTTCTCCTTGCTAAAGAGTACCCTATGGGAAAATGTGAGGGCAGGCCTCCCATATTCTTCCAAGATTAAAACATTCCATCCTATAGGAAAGCTCCTTAAGCAGAAAGGTAAACAACTCCAAATAGCTTCAGGAAGTCCCTGAAACTGATCAGATTCACTAGACACACACACACACACACACACACACACACACACACACACACACACACACACACACACACACAGTCCAGTATAAACAACAAAAGCTCAAAGTCCCTCTCAGAGCAAAGCTGAGCTACAAAAGATAACTCTTGAGACCAGACCAATTGCCTAGAAGAAACAGAAAACAGCTGAGCTACCTGGAAGAGGTTTAAACCAACTGAGGCACCTGAAAAGGATACTGCCCAACCCATTGAGCTGCCTGCAGGCTGTGCAGTGTGCTCCAGATTCCCAGCTTCGTGAGCTGTCACTCATGCTGAGGTGGGCTTTGGTGACGCAGCTGTCTTTGAGTCTTTTCTACTCCTTAAGTGACCCCTCACCCATATTCCTGTAAGTCACCCCAATAATACTCATGGTCCACCAAGTTGGACTATGGTGGTATGCATACTTTGGTATGTCATGGACTCCCTATGACACCTGGGGTGAGTAGACGTGTGTGTTGCATCTCCCCAGAAAGAGTTTCATCACACAACACCTCCACACTGTTGGTGGCGATCCTTTGAGTGTCCATGCTTTGCTGTTTCCTGGAGAAGTCACTTAGTATTTCTCTTACTGCTGAGTGGCACTGCAGAGGCTCCCCTGGAGTTGCAGACTCTGGCAGCATCTACAGGACACATGACTGAGGTCTGTCCATGTCAGAAGCACACTTTGGGGCTCTTCTTTCCATGTTCCTAAACCCCACTCACCTGCTAATAGCCAGTGTTCCGAAGAACTCAAACTCACGTTGGAATACTAAGCTTCCCAGGCACTAGTACTCGTGGTACTTACTCCCTGCTGCAGTTGTTGACAGCTGCAATAGTAGCAGCAACCTCACCGCCACAGCGGTAGCATTTATGAAACACATACATATGGCGGCAACTATATTAAGCATGTACATATGGCAGGCATATATTAAGCTCTCTACCAGAACTACCTTCCTTAATTCTTTTTTTTTCTTTTTAAGACAGGGTTTCCCTGTGTAGCTTTGGAGCCTGTCCTGGATCTCGCTCTGTAGACCAGGCTGGCCTCGAACTCACAGAGATCCTCTGCCTCCCGAGGGCTGGGATTAAAGGTGTGTGGTGCCACCATCACCCAGCCCTTTCCTTAATTCTTAAAGCGCCTTTCTCGATCTGGAAGCATTCTTGCTTTCGGTTCACAGGTAGAAACCTGTCATCTGGGGATTACTTTAATTTACCCACTTAATTTCAGAGTCTGTGGTCTTCACCACTGTGGCATGTGCAGGCAATAAATGAAGCAGCAAGCCAGCATATCCATGTCGATAAAAAGAACTAGCAGTGAAGCCAGGCTCTGCCAGCTTCACACAATTCAAAGCCAAAATCAATTGATCAGTAATCCAGGCTTAGCTTACCCATGCAACCTCCCATGAATGAGGAGGCTACACAATCAATAAAGACCAGTCCCCGCTTCCCAGGAGCGGAAGAGTCCTCTCAGCTCACCAGAGTTCCTCCAGGGACCTGTTCTTCTCCAGCATCAGTGCTAAGGCTTGGGCACCCTCGATGCCAATGTTGTTCCCCACCAGGCTGGACATAATCATGGAATAAACATGAGTCAGAACAGAGAGGAACCTCAGACACAAGCTGACCTATGAAGGGCAAATGACACACTCTAATAGTGTCCCCCCATCTTAGACATACTAATTGATTACAGTGCCCCTTAAGGCCAGGAGCAGCCTCCAAACCCTCCCCAACTAGGCAGCCATTTTCAGTAGACTAGAACAGGTCCTTAAAATATGATTTCTGAGGTGTGAATGGGGGGGGGGGCGGTAGAAAGGAGATGGGGGGAGGGAACGGGATGAGAGGAAGGAGGGGAAATTGTGGTTGGTATGTAAAATAAATTTTAAAAATCTAATAAAAGAGAAAAAATAAAAAGATAAAATGTGAAGGTTTCAACTCACAGCCTTCAATTTGCTGACAGGGAATCATGGCCCTAAAAGGAGGTGATTCACCTCCAAATTCACCCCCAGATCCTCAATTTCCTGGTCCCAAACCCAATGGTCTTTCTTCCTTACTCCACTTCCTAATTCAAGGGAGTGCACACAAAGTTCAGTGACCTTCAAAACCATCCCAAGGACCTAGTTCCCCCTATGACAAAGACAAGACACACCTTACAGCTTACCTGAGCCACATCATGCTCTGGTGACCAGCCACAGCTTCAGCCAGGGCTTGGGTACCTTTGTCACCCACACTGTTGCCCCAAAACCTGAGAAGTCAATAGGGTATACTTCAGACATGTGCTGATGTGCTTGTGTGGGGCCACTCTACCCCAGGGAGTTCTCAATGGTCCCAGCAAAGTGAACCTACCACCACCTTCTTAGTAAAATGATCAAACTCCACTTAGACTCTTTAGTGACATTACAGACTTAATAAAGGCTTGTGGACCCACCCTCAGTGATGAGGAACTCACCCTCAGTACTGAAGGTTGGTAGACTCACTCTTTGGTGATAGAGAACTCACTCTCAGCTCTTGGACCCACCCCTTGGTGATGGGAAACTCACTCTCAGTACTGAAGGCTCATGGACCCACTCAGTGATGGGGAACTCACCCTCGGTACTGAAGGCTCATGGACCCACTCCTCAGTGATGGGGATCTCACTCTGAGTACTGAAGGCTTGTGAACCCACCCCTCAGTGATGGGGAACTCACCCTCAGTACTGAAGGCTCATGGACCCATCTCTCAGTGATGGGGAACTCACCCTCGGTACTGAAGGCTCATGGACCCACCCCTCGGTGATGGGGAACTCACCCTCAGTACTGAAGGCTCCTGGACCCACCCCTCGGTGATGGGGATCTCACCCTCAGTACTGAAGGCTCCTGGACCCACCCCTCGGTGATGGGGATCTCACCCTCAGTACTGAAGGCTCCTGGACCCACCCCTCGGTGATGGGGAACTCATCCTCAGTACTGAAGGCTCATGGACCCACTCAGTGATGGGGATCTCACCCTCAGTACTGAAGGCTCCTGGACCCACCCCTCGGTGATGGGGATCTCACCCTCAGTACTGAAGGCTCATGGACCCACCCCTCGGTGATGGGGATCTCACCCTCGGTACTGAAGGCTCGTGGACCCACCCCTCGGTGATGGGGAACTCACCCTCAGTACTGAAGGCTCATGGACCCACCCCTCGGTGATGGGCAACTCACCCTCAGTACTGAAGGCTCATGGACCCACTCAGTGATGGGGATCTCACCCTCAGTACTGAAGGCTCGTGGACCCACCCCTCGGTGATGGGGAACTCACCCTCAGTGCTGAAGACTTGTGGACCCACCCCTCGGTGATGGGGATCTCACCCTCAGTACTGAAGGCTCCTGGACCCACCCCTCGGTGATGGGCAACTCACCCTCAGTAGTAGTTCACATGGTTGAGAATTTTTCCTTCCTGGTAGCTTTCACCCAGAAGTCTCTAACTGTTCTCAGAACAATGGTATAACTACCCAGAACAATGCTAACTCCTCCTGGACAAGCCAGCTTTTCATCTCTTGCTCCTTCTTAATCTCCGTTTCCATGCTGTTCAGCTCCTTCACCTTCTCCGCCATTCTCCTCTGACCTGCTGTGGCTTGGACACAGTTCCCACATTCTGACCCAGTGTCACACACTGAGGGACTTGCCCTGGAGTGCGTATATGTACAGATGAACAAAGACCGCTGCCCTCGTTCACTACGTGAAATAGTTCATTTTGATTGCCAGTTTCACTGGGCTGAGAAATATTTAAGAGATAAAGCCCACCTCTGCGGGTGTCAGTGAGAGTGCTTCCGGCAACAATCTGATGGTGTGAGGGGTATGACCTAGCCAATAAATAAATCCCTTGATGGATTCATACTGTGACATTGATGGGAGGTGGTGAACTAGGAGTATGGCCCAAGGAAGAAGATCAGCTGGGGTATGTCCTTGGGGCCGTGTATGGCCCTGGTCTCTTCCTATATCCTGCTTCCACTGATCAGCCACGAAGTGAACAGCTCTTCTCTCCCACAGTTCCTGCCACCACGATGTTCTGCTCAAGCTTAAGGGGCTAAACCCTGAGACCATGAGTCAAAAATAAACGTATCTTCCCTAAAGTTGTCTCTATCAGACACGTTAGTACTGGCAACAAAAGTTAACCCATACATTAGATTAAGTGCGGACTGAGGTGTGGCTGTGTGAGAACACTGCCCTGGGCACAGGGCACTGTGATAGGGAAACAACAAACCTGGGAACATCCCAAGTGCACATCAAATAGATGAACTAGAACCAGCCAACCAGCAGGATGCTCTGCAACTCTTCTTAAAGTGAGGTCATACCGTCTGAAAGATGCCCAGACTATGTTGTGAAGCAAGAGGAAGGGCCAGGCTTACAGAACAGTCTGCATCCTATGTGAGTGTTGGAGTTCCTGGTGCAATCCCTGGCTCAGACAGGTGTCTTTAAAAAACGGTTAAATGGGACATAAATGTCCAGATGTGGCTGGTGAGACCTCAGGCAGAAGGTAGCTCCATGGGGCTAAGACCTCATTCTGTGTATACTCTGTTGCTGCTAACACTGCTAGAAAGGGTGCTGACTTCAGATGCGCGGTCTCCTTCCTGCCTCACACTGGGCAACTAGCCTGCCAGAGCAATGAGTCAAAACATCCGGGCCCTATAGTTACTCTCTCTTCCTACATCTTGGATTCCTCAATCCCCAGTTCTTGACAACTGACCTGTCCCTTGGTCATTTTGTCCCTGGTGTCCTTGAGAAGCACAGAGTACTTCTGAGGGCATCCCAGTCCCGAGCACCTCCGAGGACTAGGAGGCTCAGATCCTCAGTTCAAGGCACAGCCCTCTCCTACCTCCATACCATGAATTTCCTACTTACCAGGTGAGGAGGTGAGCAGAGAGGCACCTCAGAAGCTGCCTAGCACCACCCACGCTCACCCCAGCCCACCCTTCCATTTGGAGCCAAGGCTGCCTGTGGGCTCTTCAGGTGAAGCGCTCGCCTGCCCTGAAGTCTTTGAAAGCCACGCATTTCTTCATGTGGACCCTCCATCGTTGAACCCAACCTACCCCAGGAACTTCAGGGAGGTGTTGCTCTTGAGCCCCTGGGCCAGCACCTGAGCTCCAGCAGCCGTAATGTGATTGTTTCCCAGCCTGAAAGGAAGACACACAAGTTCAAAGAAAGTGCAGCCCTCTGGTCCCTGGCCTCTCCTGGGGCGTGGCAGTGACATGCTGTTCTGCAGAGCTTGCTGACATCTTGACTCCCACCATGGTTCCTGCCCACTTGCACTTGGTTTTTCCAAACAGACCTGGGCAGGGGTCACAGCAGAAAGCTGTCCTGGGAGCTGGTTTCCCTAGGAAACTGCCACATCTTTGCTTCTTGGTTTCAGTCATCCTCAGTCTACACCCCGTACGCCCCTCCCCCATGACATGGAACCCAGTGTCATCATGGAGTGGTACTGGCCTAAAGGGGCTGGGAAGGGGAGGCATCGGAGGGTTCCCGGACCACACTGAGCATGCTGCAGGAGGGAAGAAGGTGGGGCCAACGGGCTGCAGCAATTAGCAAGGACAAGATCACAGGCTCTAACATCGCTGAATCTAGTCACCCCACCCCACCCCACCCCACCCCACCCGCAATAGTTCAGAGCTGTCACCCAAGACAAGCCTTCTGGAATAAATACAACACAATTTCATCTTTTCAAGGCACTTTAAGCCACTCTGGCTCACAGCAATGTTAGGGTAGGTATGACCATCTCATTCCAGAAAGCATGTGGTACCAAGAAAATACCCCAAGACCTCTGCTGGGCAAATCAGGTTTGAGAGCACCCCAAGTGGTTTCATGAACTCTCTCGGAGCTGCACCAAAGTCCAAAATACTTCCTCCCATCCATCTTCTTCAAGCAGGGTCAGTCCCCAGCCTCCACATCTCCCTCCCCATTTTCCCACTCGTGGGCATTTTCTGCTCATATAATCCCTTCTTTGAGGACTGAACTAACATAAGGATGCGCAAGCTGGAAGCTTACATAATTTACCCACGATCCTTCAGTCTCTGAGCTTACTATATAAAGCATGTACTGTACCAGCTCTATGTGTGTTAACTCCATCGTGACAGCCTTTCAGATGGCTGTAACTCTGATCCCCATTTTAAGAAAAGAGATGGGGACAAAAACATTATCTGACCCAAGGTCATGCAGCTAATAAGGATTCAAATCTCTGGGTTTCTAGAGTTGAACCAGAAGGCAGTCTAGCTCCAGGGCCCCTGTTTTCAGCCACAATGAAAGCACCATATGCTGGTCACAAACCTAGGCCTCTGGTTCTGGATCCCACAGCCCATGCTACCCCCAGACTTCCCTGGACTGCTGGACCAGGTGAGTTTTGGGGAGCAGGGGACAGTGGTAGAACAGAGTTTTCTATGCAAAGTAGTACCTGTGGCCTTGGCCGTTGTAGCCCTGTCTGAGATGAGCTAACTGACCAAATTTTAAAATGGCATCCCTCATCCCCAAAGGCAGCCAGCAAATCATAATCATAATCATAAAAGTGATTCTTCACTGTCTTTGCTATTGCCTCACAAATCTTAAGAGGCATGCATGACTATCTGAGAGAGAGACTTGAGAGAGATGAAGAGAGAGGCACTAGGGACTTGGGGTGTATCTGTTGATCTCTGGGTGGAATTTCAAACCTTGCCTGATGAGAGCTGAGGATGCTTTGGGGACAATCCAGCAACTGGGTGCCACAGCTGTGACAGCAAGCATAGGTTCGGTGTGCATCAGAAAGAATGTGCAATCTTCATTGACACTGAGGGGGGAGAAAGACCCAGAAACTCCCCACCCCAGGGACCAAACGTCCAAGAGACAGGAGCTCCTCAGCCTCAGTAGTGCAGAGCACGCCATGGCATCTGAGAAACAAGGTCAAAGCGAGACCCTTTCCTGGACGCAGTCAAGGGTCCCCAGCCACTGTGGGTCACCCCACGGTCCAGACCAGATCACCTGAACTCAGCTATGGGGAACATCAGACCCAGATAATAAGGGAAGTCAGCACTCACCTCAGTGACAAGAAGTTCTGCTTGTGTGCAAGGAGCTTGGCCATGGAGGAGGTGCAGCCATCCGTGAGTTTGTTGTTGAAGAGCCTGCTGGGTTCCAGGAAAGATGGAAACAAAGCACATGACCAGCAAGCTAACCAGGGTGTATCTTCCTCTCTTCCTAGGAGCCACCTTGCATCCTCCAGCCAGGTCACACCTGGTCCACCCCATCACCCGCTCATAGCTGCCTCAGTGGCCATGCCCAGTTCGACTCACGCTAGCTTCTGCAGCTGCTCACAGCGAAGAGCATACTCAATGAGTGTGCAGATACCTCGATCTGAGATATTGTTATCTCGCAAACTGAAAAAGACATGGGATTCAGTTAGAAGTAGAGCTGGTAAGAGAAACCCCCAAAGAGACTCTCACCTCCAAAACGACAACCTCACTGTGCTTCTGGGAACCAGGACAAGGCACCCTGTGCCCCTCCCCCCAATCCCTGCCAGGGGAGCTAATGGTAGGGGACAGTCCAAGGAGTGGGGGGACCTTGAGCCCTCTCTTTGAGAGGCCATGGAGTTAATTCCAAGCCCAGTTCCCTTCTCTGCAGAAGGGTAGTGACCATGACAACCATCCCACGTAAGGCTGTGAGGTGGAAAGGAGCTGACCCATGGGAGAAGCAGCCAGAACAGGGCAGAAGCACCTAGCAAGCAGAGGGGAGACCAGCTAGATAAACACAGCGGCTCAAATCTTGGAAACATTCCTGGGTGCATGAGCACTGCTCACCTCCCCTTGCCCATCAAAGGCCTGCATGTGGTCAAGCCCCTCCAGCTCCTCTAGGGACCCTGGATCACAAGGTCATCTGAAAGCTTTCCTAAAGTACAGCTTCTCAGGCCCCTACATGGAACTGGCAGCCCAGGAACCTGTACTCAATGAAATCAGAAACCTGTATACTTTAACAACCATGCCCACCATTCTTTACCATCAGGCAAACATGAGTAGTCCTGGCTAGACGGTTACCAGCTCAGGTGTTAGTCCCCCTCCTCTGGATGTCCTGACCTGGATCAGCTATTCACTAACTGTCCAAGTTCAATTTCTATTGCTGGGATAAAACACCATGAACCAAAAACAACTTAATGGAAGCAAGAATTTATTTTGGCTTATGGTTCTAGAAGGATAGGCGTCTATCATGGCAGAGAGGCATGGCATCATGTAGGCACGGTGGCCAGAGCATGAGAGTGTCCATCTTCAATGGTAAGCACAAAAAGAGAGTGAACTCCAAGTGGCAAGAGTCTTTAAACTCTCAAAGCCCACCCTCAGTGATATACTCCTGCCAGCAAGGATGTACCTCCTAAACCTCCCCAAACATCACTGCTAACTGGGGACCAAGTGTTCAAACACCTGCCCCTATGGGGGCATTCTCATTCAAACAATGAGAATTGCTAGCTGCAGCTCCCTTCATCTGCAAGAAAGAAATGACCACCCTCAGTAAACTGTGCCCATACAGCCCCTGAGCACCGTACATGGAAGAGCCCCCTGAAATCACAAGTACATCCCATGTACCAGGCATTGCTCTACGGACTTCCCATCAGTAACATCATTACTCTCACAAGCCCACGCAGTAGATCCTACGTTATGTCCTCAAGAGAGAGAAGATGAAGCACCAATAAGTGAGCTGATTTGGCTGAGGTGCACAGTGCTGAAAGGGGTGAGCCTGAATAGTCCGACTGCCAGCCTGCCCCACGCACAGCACAGTGCAGCCTCCCCAAGGCTTTTCTCAGGCTCTCAGAGAAGTGGCTTTCAAGCTGCAGGTTGTATGACCTCTTAGTGAGTCCCACAGACGATTCTGAAGGTCCTGAGCAGAATTTGAAAGCTGACATAGAGCAGATAAAAGTGAGTCGGGGCTAATAAGGGAAGTCATTTCACAGAGCTCTTGTTTTAATTCCACGGGCCTGAGCCTGTGCGCTCTCTCCTCTCTCTCTCTCTCTCTCTCTCTCTCTCTCTCTCTCTCTCTCTCTCTCTCTCTCAGTGGAACAGGAAACTGAAACCATCACCCTAGAGGCAGAGAGAGCAGAGTCTAAAGAAACCTGCACAGGAGCACTTTGCAAGTAGGGTTTCTTAGAGACGAGGGTTTCAGTTGGCATGGAAACCCTTCCAGCGGGGAGAATGCAGACTCACACCGTGGGAGCGAAGCCTGCCCCTCCTTCCCTTCCACTTTCGTTCCTCCCGCTTTGTGGCTGTGCTATACACACACACACACACACACACACACACACACACACACACACACACACGAAATGCCAACCATTTCTTGGTTGTACATAGGTTAAGAACCGTAGAGCTTAGTCGAGGGCTTTAACTGCTGCGTTCAAATATGCTTTCTCTGTCTAATGCAGATCCCCGAGGTGATTAACTTGCAAAGTGAAAAGGTTCACTTTGACACACATTTTTGGAGATGTTAGTCCGTTAGTTGGCCTTATCGCTTTGGGGTCCGTGTCGAGGCATCACTTCATGACCGGAAGGTGATGGAGGAAAAGAGTGTATATCTCCAGCCAGGGAATAAAGCATAAAGGAATGAGGCGGGCTCCTATAACCCTTTATAAGGACACACCTCCAATAATCTACAGACTTCCCAATGCCCCACTTCCTAAAGACGACACCTCCCAACACATGGATCCCCGAGGGACATCCATCCATCCACAGCAACCACTCAAGGCACAAGAAGCTGACTCTTACATATTCTCACAGGGTAAGACTTCTGGTGTTGGAGTCAGCAGCTACACGGCTACACGATTTCCCAGGCCCAAAGCCTGGGCCTATGGACAGGAATTACTGCAGCCCAGGAATCTCCTATACAACAAGCATCTTTTCATGATACTGTGTGACCACCAGGAACTCAAACCAGGCCAGCCTCCCTTTCTCTGAAACAGACAGACCCACAGCCTCCCAGACCCCTGGGCCCATCAGCATGCCACAGGATCATAGGAACATTCTTAATCACAGAGAGAGGATCATTTAAACATTCCAGAGATGGGTGCTGAGCCTGGTGGACTGTAACTTTAACTCCGCTACTGAGGAGTTGAGGGCAGAAAGATCACAGGTTTGAGATCAGCCTGGACTGGCTGAGGGCTCATTAAAAAAAAAAAATCCAGAGATGACTTGCTGAGGGTCATCCAGGCCAGTATATCTGATCTTCTGAAGTTCATGGTTTGAAAGTATGGATCCACTATCAAGGAAGGTGCACACTCATATTTCCACCAGAGCGGCTTCCACACCCAGGTGTGCAAATTCTCAGTTGAGGTATCTTGTTGCTCCCTTCCTGGAGAAATGGAACACGGTATAGACCATGTCCACTCATTTCCCTAGTCAGATCCATGTTCTCTTAGCTCTTGATGCTGGGAGGCAGATACCCTAAGATGACATCAGGCGGGCTCAGCCTCCCTGCTGGGTTCAGTCAGCAGAAGCACAATACTGGAAGGGCAAAGGGGCAGAGAGAAAGGGCCAGGCTTTCTAACCTCAGATGCAACCCTTCCTAAAGACTCTCTCCAGGTCTTCTCTCAGCCAGGAAATCCTCCTTGCCTCAGGCCTTTCCCTGGAGCTCTTCCTAATTCCCATCCACAAGTCTGCAGTCGCTTCCATAGACTTCCTTCCTATTTCCCAACTTAAGGGCAACATCTGTTTCCTCAAGACCCAGATGGAACTATTCATATTTCTAGTATATAGTTACTGTATACAATAGAGATCTATATTAACTCCATATACTATACATTATATTGTGTTATAAACTGGTAACCATGGTCCCTGTGTAAGGGTAGTCAGGTTACCACACTTTCATGCAGGTGTCTGTGTGTTGTGGCTTTGTCTCAGAGCAGATGAGCTATCCTAACACCCACAGGAATCTTGCCTTTTGCAAGTTCAACTAAGGTTATCTGCAAGGAGTGCCAAAGCCTCAGGAGGCTGTTTCTAGATCTTAACTGTAATGTACAACTTCCTCTTTCTGTTAGGCTCTAAAAAATAGCAGGGCGTTCCTTCTCAAGGCAAACAAGAAGGGTAGTTGGGAGCTGCGATCATGCTGGTCGCCAGGCCTGGGCATACCCTCTGCCTATATCTGACTCCAGACATGGAAAGAGGTCCACACATTCAAGAGCACAGATGTTCCAAAGAGCAGAGCCTCATGTTTTAGCCACGGAGCAGAAAGCAATATGGGTCATGGAAAGTTCTCCAACAGCTTTCTCTCAAGACCCCAAATTCCCATCTTGGTGAGATATTAAAGACTCTGATGGGGTTCAAATCATTTCTGATTTGAAGCTGTCCCCAGTACAGACACAAAACTTTGCATGGGACCTCAAGCCTTTCCCAGAGCATTAGCAGTACACCCACAGACAGGGACCAGGAGACTTGGAACCAGAAAGGCATGCTTTGTGAAAGCCATTCTTGTTTCCTGTACGATTCTGGACAAGTTACTTGACTTCTGTGAGTCTCAAGTAAAGGATCATGGGGGTGCTTAGCCCAGCATGGTTGTGGGGATAAATGAGGTCATTCTGGAAAGTGTAGCACAAAACTTCAAGTATGCGATGGCCAATCTCAATTGTCAACTTGACACACCTGGGGAGAGGGAACCTCAACTGAGGAATTGCCTCCATCGGCTTGGGCATGTCTATGGGGCTTTTTCTTGATTGCTAAATGATGTAGGAGGGGCCAGCCCACTGTGGGTGATACCATCCCAAGGCAGGTAGGACCTGGGGTGTATAAAGCAGCTAGCTGAGCAAGCCAGAAGAAGCAAGCCAATAAGCTGCATGCCCCCATAGTTTCTTCTTCACACTCCTGCCCTGGCTCCATAGATGATAGATGGGAACCTACAAGGTGAAATAAACCCTTTCCTCCTTAAGATGTTTTTGGTCAGAGGGTTGCATCACAGCCACAGCAAACAAGCTGGGCCAATGGCTATCGCTATCTGTACTGAAACTGAGCTCCAGAAGAGAAAAGGGTCTGGCTGGTGTACGAAGGATGGCAGACCTGGGATTGGGCCCCGACTTCTGCATCCCAACTCTGTGCTAGGCTTCTGCATCTAAACTTGACAGTAGCATTTGCCCACAGGCCCAACCAGCAGGACCTGGTCACACTCACTACAGAGCTGTGCAGACACCAAGGCAGGGCAGCAGCTGTTCCACTCCAACATCTCCAACAGAGTTGTGGTCTAGCTGCAGGGACACAGGCCGCTGGAGATGCCGCAGCACAAAGGCCAGGGCAGCACACTCCGCAGGGCCCACTCTGCAAAAGGTCAACTTCAGGTGCCCAATGTCCAAGCGACGCACAGCCTCCTGCGCCAACTGCTCCTCCTGCATCTCGTACAAGCTGCGGATGAGCCAAATGAAGCCAGGCATGGCATGCATGCTCTTGGCCTCGCCAGGCACGGCAGGTGGGATGTTGTGGAAGTGTTCACGAAGGCTCTGAGCCAAAGAGGAGCGGACACACGCCTGGCGCTGGAGTAGCACCCTCTTAGAGATCTGGCATGCGGCCAACAGGTCCCGATGTTCCCTGGACAACAGACCCGCTAGGAAGGCTGCTGTGATCTGCAGGTTGTGTGGCTCAGCCTTCTGTAGTAAAGCCACTTCACTGCCCTTCTTGACTCTGGAGCCCTGGATACACAGACTGGGCAGCAGCCTACCCAGCAGTGAGCTGCCCAGCCGGCCACAACTGAAGAGGTGCCTGAGTGAGGCTGCCGATGTGTCCGCACTGACTGCCAAGTAGAATGCGGCAAAAAAGCACTGGAAGGTGATGTGCAGGAATTCCAGGGGTGCCTTGCTCCCAGGCACCACACTTTGAGCCCGTACCAGGAAACCAAGAGAAATATCATCAGAGTCAACCTGTGCTGCCTGGAGCTGCTGGACTGAGAACACGTAGCAGCTCAGGGCCAGGCCTCGGAGAGCCAGGTGGCCAAGGTGCAGGAGGGTAGGGAGCCGACTTTGAAGGAGCTCAGGTCCCGGGCCGAGGGGGTAGGAATCTGGAGGGGAGGCATGGAGCAGGAAATGCTGTAGGATCAGGAGGTACATGTCTGTGCTGGTTGTTGGGAACCCCCCATTCTGCAGCAACAATTCCTGGTGGCATCTGGACACCATCCAGGAGAAGACAGGGAGGTGGCACAAACCATGCAGGGCGGATGTGGCTTGGAGCAGGTGGATGAGGCGGTCTGCCACTCCAGGTTCCCGGTGGTGCTTTCTCAGGTACAGTTCGATGCCCTCTTCCGAGAAGCCCTTCAGGTGGCATTCTGTACGGACAAACTTCCTGAGGAGTGCTGACACAGCATCTGGGCGACTGGTCAGCACCTTGCAGGCATTCTTCAACAGGTTCCCCTGAAGAAGATTGAAAAGCAGCGTCTGGACTGACGTGGGGTCAGTCGGAGAGCAGTGACGCTCCCGGTCTGTGAACCGGAACTTGAACTCATCCAAGCCGTCGAAGGTTAACAGGACACGGTCAGGATGGTCAAGGAGGAATTGGAAGACGTCATGCTGACCAACGTCGGGCCAACAGCAATGCTCGAAGAGCAGCGTCCTTAGAGACAGTGGTTTGGCCATGCACTGCAGCTGCCGGCAGCTGAACGGGAAGACGAAGAGAAACTCCTGGAAGTTCTGCCCGGTCGCCCACAGCAAGTGCAACCGCTGCAGGAGAGTACTCTTGCCGCTGCCTGCCTCCCCCACCACCAGGACAGTGTCTGCATCCTTGTTCAGGCGGCCATGGGTACCAAAGAGTTCCTCCAGGCCCAGGATGGCAGGGCTCTTCTGCAGGGCCCCAGCCGTGCCCACCTCTGTCCGCAGCTCCAAGGTGTTCTCCGTGTATATATCCTCCAGGCAAAGATTCTCTGACCCATCGTACGTACTGAGGAAGCGAGACTGAGCTGCCACCATGGTCCTCAGCTTCGATACGAACCTTTGACACTCAGCAGCTGGGATACAGAAGAGGCAAATGAGGGCGGGATCGTGGTCATGATGGGACCTATGCAGAGAATAACCTACATGGGGGGATGTGATTCATGGCTCAGAGAGAAGAGCTGGTGGGCATCTATCCTGTCTTGTCCACTTATAAACTGTGGGCTTTGGGGACAGCCACGGAAGCTTCCTAAACCTGGTTCTTCCCCTGCAAAGCAGGAAAGCATCAGAGAACTTTGACATGGGCAAACAGGGATGATGCACGGCACGTGGTAAATATAGCATCCAACACAGAGACTGTTATACTTAACATGCACACCTGAAAGTACCAGGGAGGGTCTGACTCACAGGATATGTAGCCTGATTCTATATTCCTGTTTGGTGGCCTGAGAGACCATTCAGACTCCACTGCCAGTCTCTAAAGGAAATTAGGTGACAGGGCTTAGGTGTCCAAGCTCTGAAGTCTGACGCCTGGGCCCACCACCTGCTTGACAAGCTACTTGGCCTTGCTAGGATCCCGTTTTCTTATCTATAGAAATGAGGGACTGTTAAAGCCCTAATTTGAAATGGCCCCACAGGCTTAGGTGTCTGAATGTTTGGTCCCCAGCTGATAGGACCGTTTTGGTAGATGTGGGACATTTAGGATACAGGGCTAGCTGGCTGACATGGTCCACTGGGGGTAGGCCTCAAAGGTTATGGCCTGGCCTACTTCCACCAGAGCTCTCCACTTCCCATCTGTGGCTGTAATAAAATCAGCCTCTCATGTTACTATTCCTTGAGTCAAACTGCACTAGCCACCAATCCTCCTGGCCACGACAGACCGTCCTAAACTGGGAGCAAAACAAGCCTTCCTCTCTCAAGTTAATTCTGTCAGGTACTCCACACCACAAGAAAAGTGGCCATGGATGGTGTCCAGATCTGATTCCTGGAACCCATGGCTATGTTACCTTATATGGCTAAATGGACTGGCCTGAATCAGAGGCTGACTCTAGGAACTCAGGGTCACCCGGCGCCTGCGCCGAGTCCTCAACAAGATCTTCTGATACTTCCTGCTTCTTCCTCCTCCTGCCCCTCTGCACCCAGGGCCCTACTGCCAATGCAAAGCACTTCCTCCTGAGGGCTTAGTTCCTCTTTCAGGAAATAGGGAAGGGTCTGTCAGAGGCTCAGGCTGTCAGGACGTCACATCACGGGATGTCAGCATCATCACCCCACCAGGACCCCACCATGGCCAGTAAAGCCAGCCCATTTGTTCTCAACTCAGAGGCAAGCAAGTTCTTATCAGAGAGCTCTTAGCCCACCGAAGTACCTGCAGAGCCAAGCAAAGCAGGTGCCCGACGCTGGTGTTTCTTCTTTTTATTGTCTTTTTTGATATGGGGCCTCACTATGGAGCCCAGACTAGCTTCAAACTAGCAATCTGTCTGCCTGAGTCTCCCTAGGAGCTGGGATCAGAGGCTGCGCCGCCACACCCAGTATTCAATGCCTCTTGTTCCCAAAGGTGAGGATCCTTGTGGCTCTTTCTGCTCTTTGGCTGTATCAGGAGCACTGATCAAACACCAAAATATACACAGCCTCCTTTCTGATTCCCTGACTTACAATGCCAGTCTCTAGCCATCACCAATATTACTAAAAACTTCAAACAAACGAACGAACCCAGGCCTTGGCAAGATGGCCCGATGGGTAAAAGCACTTGTCACCAAGTCTGATAATCTGAGTTCGATCCCCAAGATCCAGCTGGTGGAGGGAGACAGCCAACCACTACAGGTTGTCTTCTGACCTCCACATGCATGCCATGGTGCATTCACATGCATGTGTACACACACACACACACACACACACACACACACACACACACACACACACGGATAAATAAATAAAAATAAGTAGATAAGTAAATAAATGTAAAATGAAAATAGAGTAAATTAAAGAATGTCTCATTTTTATTTCAAAGAAAATAAACACAATTTTTACTTTTTTTTTTCCCCTTGAGACAGGGTCTCATGGCTTCTAACTTGTTGTTGTAATGGAAGTTGACCTTGTACTCCTGATCTTTCTGCCTCTACCCACAGGTGTCTGCAACCATGTCCATGTGCCCAATTGTCATCTTTAGAAGCATCTCGCATCAGGGAACTGTATAATGCCTATATGGCCAGCTATACTTGATAACATTGTTAGCAAATGCTCACCAAGGGCCATACTGGCTACCATACAGTGATGTCCATCTCCTGCTCTTGTATGAAATAGTTTATACCTGAGTACCAAGCACGGGCCTCCAGTCATCCTGCCCACAGGCTTTCTTCCACATAGAGGGCAAGACCAGAATGATAAGCCCATCTGTTAGCTCTGGGCACATAGTTCATGGACCTTCAGTCCACATTAGCTTCCTCCTCAGTTGTGTGGGAACAAGATGACTGGGAAAGTACCACGCTTGTATCCTTTCTGCAACTGATGAGTTCTTCTCCCAAGTAGGGAAGGTGGGAGCACTACAGTCAGACCCACTCCCTGTTCCTTTGTGGTGATATCTTATTTGTGCTGAAATGTGGTGATATTTTATTTGTATGTTAATAAATAAAGTTTGCCTGGAGATCAGAGATCATAGCAAGCCATTAACACAAAAGTCAGGCAGTGGTAGCACACTCCCTTAATCTGATCACTTGGCAGGCAGGGTCTCTGTGTGTTCAAGGACACACTAGGGAACAGTCAAGTGTGGTGATACATGCCTTTAATCCCAGTACCAACCATAGAGACCTGGAGGTCTGCACAGACAAGCAGTAACAAGGAAGTGAGGTAGCTGGGCTAAGAGCCAATGAGAAGACAGAATAGCAAGGCAATAAAAGCCTGGGTAAACAGGAAATAGCTCTCTTGGGAAGCTACAGAGGCATGGTGAGTTAAGGCTAGCTGGTGGCTCTCACTATTTCCCTGATCTCTAAGGCTTTCACCCCTATATTTGGCTCTGTGTTTCTTATTTAATAAGACCATTTAGAAATTCGTCTACATTCCTTGCCACTCAAGTCTCAGTTTACTTATCTGTAAAATGGAACATAGCAATATCCACCTCTCAGGACTGTTGGTAAAAGGTAGAGAATGCCCATAAAGTCCATGGCAGGCTCCCTGGCATGTCTCAGCCCTGCCACCCAGGCCTCTCGCATTACTCAGCTGGTGAGTGTAAACATAGATGGGACTACATTCTCTAAATGTGCCTGGTTATGAATTCCAGGTCATGAAAAACTAGGTTTTATAGATCAAGAGATCCCAGCCCTATCTGTACCTCGTGTGGAATGCAGTTTGGACAGCAAGGTATACCCGTAGCTGGCTCTCCACATACCATGGCTCCAGTGAACACTGTGTAGTTTAGGAAGCAATGAAAGGGGAAGCCACTGTGTGGTCCTCCTTTGAATCTTCACTGCTGCTCAATGAGTCAGGTAGCTGCTAGGCTTCAAAGGGAGAAGCTGAGTCTGGGGGAAGTTACGCACTAATACGTGGACGTTAACTGACGTGCGCTTTGCTCTTTAACCAGGAATCTGAGTCGACTTCCTTTTCTTTTGTAGTTAACCAAAAGGGACAAATACATACCCTCACGAGGCAGGGGCAGTGAAGGTAATTCCTTGATGTACTGTAGAAGGAAATCAGCCAGTCCATTTGCCTTCACCGTGGCGAGATCAAGCAGCCTTCTTGCCTACAGATGAAGAAAGGGCCATTACTCTTTTCAAGAAGACTGACGGAGGAGTCGTGTAGGAAGGTTTCTGTTAAAAGTTAGACACCCCTAATCTGAAGACCCCCCAATCCAAATGCTCTTAAATCCAAATCCTTTTGAGTCCTGACATGATGTCACAAATGGAAAACTAAAACACTTTGTAAAATTGCCATGTGTATATGAAATACAAATGACTTCTGCAGTTAGACATGGGTCAAGCTGCCAAGATACTCATTGTTTATGGAAATATTCTAAAACCCCAAAAATATCTGAAACACTTCTGGTGCCAAGCATTTAAGATGGAAGAAAGTTCACCAGTAATACAATTGTATACACAGTCCTCTTCTGTCCTGAGAGCCCAGGAAAAGAACTCCGACACAGGCTGCATTTAGCAAACAGTGACACGTAGTCATGGTTGGTGAAACAAACGCACAGCCAGCCTGGCTCCTTCTCAAAACCCACTGAAAGGAGGAACAGCTAACAACGAAATAAAATGAGACAAAGTAAATAAATACATAAACCTACCAACCTACAAAAGCAGAAACAGGTTCTGGAAGCTGTAGACCACTTGGAAGGCAGGGGGCCTCACCACGTCCTGTGGCCTGAATGTTTGAACTCACTCTCTGCACAGAACCCACTTTTTCCAGCCTCCACTGTCCCCCTGAATCTGGGACCTGCACACCCAAATGCCCATCTTCTTCCTCCATTTAAATGTGTCCTAAGCACACACGCATGCTGGGCACATATGTCCGACCCACAGCCTTCCTCATCCCTGCTCAAGTCCCCTCCATCCTTCTAGCTTTTCAGCCCAACGTCTGAAGTCACCTTGCAGTCCCTTCTCTGCACTTCATAAGCACATCCTGTGGCCTCCACCTTCAAAGGACCAGAATCAGGTTGTCCAACAGAAACAGAGCCCAAGGCATACAAGCAAGTTACATGTGCACTGAAGCCTTCTAACAGCCACATTCTTCGGTGACAAGTAATAGGTGCACTTAAGCTTAGTCACAGAGCACACTTAACCACAACATCCAAAATATTGCCATTTCAACACATAAAAAATAGTGAAACACGTTGCTTTTTCCCTTTTCTTTTAAGTCTTCCATAGCTGCTACATTTAGACTCCTGGTGTGGCCCAGCTGTGTGGCAGTGTGTGCAGCAACCACTCAGAAGCTGATGTTTACAAGCTACAGAGCCCTGCACACGTGAACCCTACTGCTGTCCTGCTCCAAGGCATGCTGTGGCTCATCTGGAAATGGCATAACAGCCTATCTCTACACTGCTCCTGCCTGCAGCCTATCCCAGCACCACAGCCAGAGTCATAGTCAGAGGTGAATACTTCACACGTTAGTCAAACCTCACAGCCCTAGCATAAACACCCCAGCTATGGCCCTAGACTAGTAGAAGCCCAAGTCCAGTAGTAAGCCCTCAAGATCCAAAGTAGACCAGCATCCTTGCCTGTGACCCTGAGGACCCAGACTGGATCACTTCTTGACTGCCTCCTCTTCTTCCCCTTGAATGCTCTTCCTATCACTGGCCTCCCTCCAATTTAATGAACATGCCCAGTATGTTCCTACTTCAGGACTCTTGCTGACTGCTTCTCTGTCTAGAGTGCTGACCAGTGTCTGCCTAACTCCCTCGCCCACTTTATGTCTTCCCTCAGATTCTACCTTCTCAATGAGAACTCTCTAACAACTCTATGGGAAAATGAAATCACTACTTCCCACCCTGGGAACTCTCGGCAGGGTTCACTCCTTTACTAACTGCATGTGGCACCTTCCAAACTCTGCAGCTTGCTTGCTCCCTTCAGCTATGGTCTATCCCCAGCTGAAGTGTGAACATCTCCACAACAGGTTTTCTATGTTGTTCACTGAGGTAGTCCCATGACAGAGGCAGTATGAAAGGACTCATTGCATGTATGTATGTATGTATGGATGGATGGATGGATGGATGGATGGGTAGGTGGATGGATGTGGATGGATGGATAGATAGATTGATGGATACATGGGTGGATGGTAGAAGACTCCTGAAGGCTAAGTCCTAAACCAAGAATGTTGCTGCTGAAAAGCACATCATGTGCACCCTACAGTCTGCCAAGAGCTCTGCCATGGCAGCATCAAGTATGTCTGTAACACAAGGAGACAGTGAAGACAAGGAACAAGTCAAAGACTTTATGACATGTATCACCGGGCTTTCTTCCCCACTCCAAACGACTAGGTGCTGTCCCTGCCTGCCATGGCAGTCTGGAGACCTGTATTCTGAAAGGATGAAAGAGGATCCCAGGACTGGGAGAACCCAGGCACAACTAAACAGTGGCCGCCACACCCCAAAGCCAGGGTTTAAATGACCACCTGCAAAATAAGTGCCAAGGCTACCTTGCCACTACCCAAGCCACTCATCCTCCAGGTTCTCTTTACAATCAGACCTTTACCCCAGGCAAGAGGCTTTCTATTTGAGGAACTTGGTAAAGCCAGGAGGAAAGGTCTGTGGATAGAAGCACTGCCATTTCCTGACCGTCTATTGTAGAAGTTGCAGTAGAGAGGTTCCACCTACTTGCTCATTGAGTTTCACAATCTGTCATTTTAATACTAAGACAGACAAGCAAGGCTTACCCATGCCCAAAGAAAACATCAAATATGGGAGATCAGAGCCAAATTAGTGGGGAAGGGAAAGCAACTTGAAGGGTTCAAAGGTTTATGCAGGGAGCAAGTGATGTCACACTGTGGTGGAGCAATTGCTCAGCATGTGCAAAGCTCTGGGTTCCATCCCTAACACGAAAACTTATGTAGTGTGAATAAAGCAATCCCACCAATCATACAAACAAAAAAACCCAACTATTAATATCATTCTGTCTACACAAAAGATTTCATCCCTAAAATAAGAGCAAGACACTGTAATAAAGGAGCAGAAAAAAGCTTTACACACTGCAAATGCTAATGCAAAAATGGAAACTTCAAGAGTTCAGTGCTGAAAAAACAGCACCAAGTTGTCTGTGGTGGCTCCTGCCTGTCATCCTAGTACTTGGGATGCCAAAGAACAAGGATTGCCCCAAATCTGAGGCCATCCTGTGCTATATAAGAGTCCCAGGCCAGCCTGGGCTACAGTGTAAGATCCTGTCTCAAAAACAACAGCAACAAAAAGACACAGCAATGGAAAAGGGAAGAAAACTGGAGGGTTCGTCTAGACATTCCAGTGTTCAAGCAGCTGCAGTTCCATAAAGAGAGAAGCAAGGGAGGCCCGGCGGTGGTGGCGCACGCCTTTAATCCCAGCACTCAGGAGGCAGAGCCAGGTGGATCTCTGTGAGTTCGAGGCCAGCCTGGGCTACCAAGTGAGTTCCAGGACAGCCAGGACTGTTACACAGAGAAACTCTGTCTTGAAAAACCAGAGAGAGAGAGAGACAGAGAGACAGAGAGAGACAGAGAGAAAGAAGGAAGGAGCAAGGAGGAGGAGGAAGGAGAAGGAAGGAGGAGGAAGGAGGAGGAGAAACAGGAACAATATGTTATAATTACCAGTAGACCCATTAGATGAACTTCTCAAACACGAAGATATGAGTTTCTGAATTCAAGCAGCCTCTTGAATGCCCAACACTCAAGACAGATGATTACAAAATTTCAGCATATCATGGACTAAAAGAAATTTAGACTAGTTTCAGAAAGAGATAGAAAACAGTCTTTGAGGTCTTTGTGGTAGCAGTAAACAGGGAAGATAACAGGGTAACGCCATCAAAATTCCGATGGAAAATGATTGCCAGAATGTTTTTGTTTGTTTGTTTACAGTGCTGGGGATAAAACCTGGAGCACCACACGCTAGCTCTCTACTACTCAGGTATAGCTCCAGAGCTCTTTTTACTTTGAGACAAGGTCTCACCAAATTGACCAGATCATCCTTAAGCCCACTCACTCTGCAGCACACACAGTCATTCCATTTGCTCTCCCCCTGCCCAGCCTCCCAAGTAGCTGGGATTACAGATGTGCCACTAGGACTTTAATCCTACTCAAACTGTCAATCAACTATGTGGGAAGCTTTAGACACTCAGAAAATTCAATTCCTAAACCGTCTGTCAAAACAAACAAACAAACAAAAACAATAGACTAGGGGACATACGGTCTACCAAAATGGAGTAAACTCGTCTAGTCAGCTGAGGACAATGGTGTCCTCCACAGAAGTGCCGACCTGTTCCTGGGCGTCAGAATCGGCTTTAATGCGCTCAGAGCAGTCTGGGCAGCACAGCCCACTTCCTCAGACCACATTCCCAGTGATCCTTCCCACATGCCTCGCATATATTCTACCTGATGCTCCAGCCTGAACAAGCAGGATTTCCCCAGACTCACCAATGACCTTGTCACTGACCTACTAGAAGGTCCTTGATAGACTCCCAAGGAAGGAGAAGACAGATCATATCCAAGAGCCTGGTAAGTTACTTTGACCTGGGAGCCTTCATCTAAGAAGAAAAGGCAGTGTTGCTACTCCCTGGCATAATTATGTTTAGCCTGCTACTTCATTTTTTAAAACAAAATATACTGTTTGGAAATTTCCAGCAAAAAGACACAGAAACCATAAAGAAGAGAGAAGGAATGATTAACAGACAAGTCAGATCATTGGTTGCCTCTACCGGTTGCACGTGAAGGACAGGGCACCAATAACATGCAGTTTCTTAATCTGGATGTGTGCATATGAAATGTAGACACATGAAAGGTATACACTATTTTGTAGGCATGGTACATTTCCCAATTTGAAACTGTTTAAGTTGATACTATGACAGGAGCAAGTAAGTTAGAGCTCAGTCTGTCACCTCAGGCCCGCTGGCTTTAGCATCTGCATGAGTCACACGGACAGCTGGTATCACAGTTAGCGTTGCCAGCCTGAGGTTTCCCAACAACTGTTACCCCAGCTGAGCAAAACTACACGACGCTTTCGCATCTTCTGACACAAAGGGAAGCGTACACTCCCTGGAAAGACACAGACCTAGATTCAGTTTCTAGCTAGCCCTGCCCAAGCGGGCAATTTGTTCTTCATTCTCAACAGACACCGCCTTCGTCACTGGAAGGATGGGACAGGGCTTAACTGGGCTCCTAGAGAGAAGGCTGGTCCAGCGCCCGGTGCACACCCGCCCTGTGTACACCTTCCCTGCACCTGCTCAGGAACCAGGGACAAAGGGGGCTCTTTAACTTGCATTCTGCTTTATTCCACAACGTGTTTTCAGTCCCCAACCTTCAATCAATGCTAGCCACCTCTAGACAAAAATTAAGAGGTTAATGCTAGAGACATGTTAGCTGGAAATACTGCAAGTGCCACCTACACTGAGTCAGATTGAGCCACTGAGGGAAAGAAATCCAGAGATCCCGGAATGCCAGAGCTGAAGGGAACTAAGAAAAAGTAGATTCTAATCATTTAACTTCAGGCTGTGGGACCCCTTTGTCACCTCCAGATTCTCAGACCTGCTATCCACTGTCCCATCCCTCAGCTCACTCCTCATCATCAGTGTTGGCTTCTGCCGTCCACCGCGTCCCTCCTTCCTTTCTTCCTTTGGACACAGGATCTCACCATATAGCCATAGCCAGCCTGAAACTCACTGAGGGCTGGGATTAAAGGTGTCCGGTCCCACTTCTTTCTTGGGATGGGGTCTTGGCTCACTGAAATCCAGCCTTTCTCCTTTCCAGCAGAGAAAAGGGCCCTCTGTCCTGCTGCATCCCGGAGATTTGGGTAAGATCATGCTCTCCTTTCTGTTTCTTTCTGGGTATTCACAGGCATCCATCAATTTCTTCTTTGGCCTGTGAGTTATCCCATTTTTCTTTTCTTAGACAATCTCAATACTTCTTGTAGTCATGCTCCCATCTCCTACAGGACCTAAGAATCTGGTGGCATTCTTCAAACCCTTCAGAGAATCTCTCTCTGGATACACTGCTGAACACTAGGTCAAAGGTGACGAGCTCCAATCTGGTAACTTCTGCGTGAGCTGATTCTGACCTCACAAACGGTCACAGGAGGCACACTGGGGCATACCTTCAGGCCCCATGTGCAGTAGTGAGAAGGCCCAGATCATGCGTGTTCTGTAAAAATTTAGCCACCTTGAGCAGCTTGAAAGCAACACTGCCAACAGAGATGCTCCCTTCATCCGCCTCAGCCTTTGCTCATCCAAACGCACCTGAAGTCCAACTCGCCCGTCCTTGCACTGAAATGTAGTTCTAATAACTTATTTATTTCATCAACAAGTATTGACCAAACACCTATCGCATGCAAAGCTCTCAACACTGCCGACTTTAACACAGAAAGCCTGGCATATGGTAAGCCTCATAGATTCCGGCTGAATGAACGAGTCAAGGCCAAAGTCCACCACTGACCTCCCCTTCACTGCTGCAGATTTCCCAAAACTGTAAAGTAGAATATTACGATTTTTCCATCCGTTCACAAGAAAATAGAAGTTTCCAGAAAACTCAGTGATACTTTTGCACCCCTGTACTTCCTGTTGAATCCTTGCATTTCAGGGGCAGTTACCTGCCAATCCTAATGCAATTTCATTTCTGAAATCCTAGGCGGGCATTTAAACCATATTAGCACACAGTGGGCGATACTATTAAATTCAGATTTAATATAATGCAGACTTATTCTCCATTGAGCTGTTGATTTGAAGCAGGCAGCAATAAAAAGTCTGCGAGTACAGAGACCCACTCAGCAGAAATGACAGCAGTCAGGGACAGTGTTAATAGGCTTCCCAGACATGTCTCTAATTGAGTGAGCTCTCCCCAAAACCTTGAACATCAGAGACTAACAGTGTCGTGCAGATGAGGAGACTAAGGTAGGAGAAACCAAGGGCAGAGGCTAAGGCTGAGGGAGAGCAAAAGGCCCCAGCACTGCACACAAGAAGAAGAAGAGAAACGAGTGGGAGGAACAGCTGGAGAGCTTCTACACAGAAACATCCAGTCACACAGAGCTGGCCTTGAACCCGCATCATTCTGGCTGCTGAGTCCAAGCCCTGCACGGCCACACCACAGCCGCCTCCACCAAAAGGGATTTGCCGGCACAACCAAGAGCAGCTTTGACCTGCCTGGCCAGCTTTGCTTGGAAATCCCACCAGTCCTGCTACTCCGTGGGGCTGACTCCACCGGAGCAACAGTCTCTGTGATGAAGCAGCCTGCTCCTGTGAACTGGGCTGGCACAGGCCACAGCTTACCCTCTGGGATGATGTGAAGATTGGCAGCCTGATCTCATCACATTCGTACTGGCTCAGGAATCCCCCCTCCCTCGCCTGCTCCAGCACGGCTTCCACGTGGTTGTAGAGTCCCCTGACGATGGCTGGCCGGTGACTCTGCAGGTCTCTGGTTGGATGAAGGGAGTGAGTGCCCCAGCAGACGTGCAGTTCAAGGGTGTGACTGTTGGCCTGGGCCTCCTGGACAGCTTCGAGGAGCTTCTGACAGCCCCAATCACCCTTGTTCCAGACTGTGTCCAGCAGGCGCCTGGCAGAATGGGAGAGAGGTTGGCCGGGGAGGCTGAGGCCTTCATAGTCCTCCCAGGACAGCACCTCCCAGGACAGGAGCCAGTCCAAGATGCTCTCGAAGCCCTCCAAGGACTCTGAGACCAACAGTGCCACCAGCTGGCTCCTCTGTGCCTGGAAGCCTTCCTGTGAGCACATGTCACAACCTGTAAGAGGGCAGAGGAGGTCAGAGGTCAGGAAAGGATTTCTCTAGAAGCCAGGCTACGTAGAGAGCAACCTACCCCAAGTCCAAGTGGGCCACAGTTGTGCTCAGGCATTCTCCAGTCTAGGTTTCCCCCAGAGTGAGGCCCCAGGATATCAAGAAACTAGCTGAAGTTCCCCAAAGTTTAAAGCAGCCAAACATTTCAATCCCCAAGGTCCTGGGCTCCCACACCCATGCTTGCTCTCCACCTTAGGAAGTTTCCAAGGCAGAGCTGACAGGAGAAGTAGTCCTATGCAGGCCACACTCACAGCCATACAGCTTTGGAACCACTGGATCCATTAACTGCATCCTAAGTGCCCTCCTGAAACATTCCATTTCCCACTCTCATCTTCTAGAAAGCAGGTGCTGTGGCCAGTCCCATCTACAGAGAGGGAAACTGAGGCACATGGCTAGGGATCTTGTAGTACTTGTCATAGCTGAGCAAGACAGGGCTGGGATAGGAACCCAAGCAGTAGGACTCCTTGCCTGATGCAAACCTTTGTCCCTTATCTTTGGTGTCCCCACAGATACCCAGCCCTGCCCTCTGCCCATAACCCATTACTGCTCCATGAGTAGAGCTGGGGCTTGCCGCCAAGATGCCAATCCAGGTGAAATGAAATGCGATGCCAGGGTGCACTTAAAGTTGGCTTGAAGCCTACCGGTACACTACCCCTATAGCCACACCACACATACACACACACACACACACACACACACACACACACACACACACACACACTTCAAGGCCCTTGTTCCTTCCTATGCATTTAGCAGCACACACTGCTTACTGCCCTGCTCTCACTGTCTCAGAAGCTAGTACTGGGGCTTTGAAAGGAAGGGACCATCAGAGGCTTCAGGCATGGAGATCCCAGAGCAGCAGAGAAAAATCAGAAAATTTCAGTGGGACAGTATCATCACCATGTCCAAGATGAAAGCTGGGGCCGTGCCCAGAAAAAATGAAAGCGAAAGGGTCCAGGCTTGGAGGAAGAGGAACAATGGCTTCCTTTCGAAATCCGGGACATTCTAAGATGCCCCAGGAGTGGGGACAGCTGGAAATGGTATGGGGAGTCTAGATCTTTCCTGCTAGATTAGAGATTTATCTTCCCTCTATGGCAGGCTCCCACGGCAGGCTAGATCTCCCTCATTCTGACACCCCTAAGCTTTGTCCAGCACGAGGCTCAGCAGAAGCCCTGGGGATGCTGACAGGGGCTGGGATGCTCTGGGGGCTATCTTCAATCTCTAACTCAGCACCACATTACTAACATGCATGCCAGCAGCCTGGGGCTGGCCAGATGGGGAAAGTGAGGCAGTGGAGCTACCTGAGCATCTGGCAGCTTAGGAGAGAGGGTATCCCTACGATGGAGGCTACTGTAAGCCGGGAGCTGAGAGTTCTCATTGGCCAAGCAGGTCACTGTGCCCTGAGATCAGTCCAAGGAGAGGAGCTAAGAATAGGGGAGGGGGGGCATCAGCAAGGAGCAAGCAGCATGAGGGGAGGGCCGAGACACGGAGTGCTTCTCAACTGTGCAAACAAACGAGCCAAAGTTTGGGGCACCAGCTACCCCACCACCCCTGCCCAGGTTGGGAGAAAAGTAACCACTGGCCCTTCCTACTCAGAGAACAGCATGGAGGCCAGGGCAGCACTCTGGCCTGAGGCCTGAGGTGCAGCCAGGAAGAACGGAGGGTGGACAGTGCTAAGATAGATGGCCTGGCTCACTTTACCTACAGGACACTGGGTAAGACGTTTACTGCTTCCTTCTTCTGCAAAGCATATGAGCCAAAAAAGCCCAGAGACATGGCACAGGCAGTCTCTGATCCAGCTGACCCACCCTAGGGGAAATCCCAAAAGCTGAGCAGGAAGCCTGAGCTGGCAGGCCAGCACCCAGAACTTGCTAGTTCTTGGCAGTCCTGGCCCGAAGCCTAGAACAGCTACACTGGCTTTCACTCCAAGACCCTGGGGATGTGGGATGTCTCCAATAAATGTGCTTGCCCACAGAGAAACAACTGGGAGAGAGCAGAAGCCCTCTCCAGATATGCCAAGAGCCGGCTGGATACCCAAACCATACACACCCAGACAATGACATCAGCCATGTGGACACAGGCAGGGTGAGGCAGGAAAGCCATGTGGCTTGGGGCTCTGCCTCCCACTCGCAGCTGGAAAGTCCCATCTTGCCAGTCTCCTGCAGACCACAAAGCAAAGCATAGCCCCAAAGACCAATTCTGCCAGTCCCCTGCCTCTGAGTGGGCCATCTTCCTATCTCATCTTAAGCAGCTGGAAAAGAAGACCCGGGTTTGATACTGTCCTCCTGGCCAGCAGAGGAGGTCCTGCATCACTCTATCTTGTTCAGCTAAAATTGGAAGAGAAAAGCAAAAGGGTAGATGCTCTTGTCCCCTAGTTCATAAAAGCTGGTCCTGGAATCCCGTTCTCGCACCTTCCTGCCCGGCCAGTCTCGGCCTCTCCAGGTTAGACACACTGCTCTGTCTTCCTGACTTTTCTTCTCTATCTAGCCAGAGCTGCCTTGCAGTCACTCTTAGCTCTGAAAGATGTAACCAAAACAAAGGGAGTACCTTTGCAGCAGAGGGTCAAGGGTATCTACAAAGGCCCCTCGCATCCCCAAGCCCCTCCTCTGCACGCCTTTCCCCTAGCACCTCCTCCCTTCCCAGGATCATGGCTAGCCTGGTTTTCCTCAAGTTCCCAGCTGAGGACTTTGTTTAGGGGCTGAGATCTCCTTGCAGTGCCCCAGACCTGCTGCCAATAGGAAAGGACAGGAGGTACCCAGAGGAGAACAGAATATGGCTTCTGAGCTGTCCTGGCTGGCCAAGCTTCCCCTGGGGCACTAACCCCACTCTCCCTCACCCTCTCTGAGTTGCTCCCCAGGAAACCAGTTCCCATCATAGAACAGACAGACTAATTCATCCTTCATTTCTGCCCTCCCTTGTCTGGGCCTGAATGGCCATCCCCAAGTCCTCCCTTCTCCCCCTCCCACACCCACTACCAGTGAGAATGCAAGCCATGACTTCCCGTTCTTGGCCTTCCTTTCTGTCAAGGGCATTCAGTCTGCCTGCTCACCCTCCTCCCTGGAGCACTTCTCTCGAGGCCTTGAAGGATTTCTCTGATCTTCTTTTCCGGGTACTAGCTTCTCTTTCTGTACATTCTACCTTCAAGGCTGGTACCCCCCACCCCAGATCTGAATCACTGCCACTTCTCTGGGTCCCTCTTTCTCAACACAAGGCCACCTGCCCACAGGCTTAATTCCCAACTGTGTGGTAATGACGCCTGAAATGTCACTGCCAGCTCTGGACAGCTATTCAACATCACGTGGTGCCTACCGGCATCCCCAAACAGGTACAAAAGCAATCACAGGACCTTCTTCGTAACAGCTCCCCTCTTGAGTAAGTGGCCCGGAACTCCCAGAGTCATCCTTGACTCCACCAATCTCAGTGCATCACAGACTGTCCACCTGACCTTCAACAGACCCCAAATCTGAAAACTACAGATTCTCTCTCCACCTCTCTCTATACCATGATGTAAGTCCTAAAGCCCCCTCACGGTTCCTTCATCTCCCATGACCCCCCGTAGGCCAATATCAGCCTCATAACTAGATGAACCTTCCAGACCCTAAGTCAGAGCAGAGGCCTTATCTGTTCACAGCCCAGCCTACCAGTGGCTCTCATCACAGTCAAAATGAAAGCCAAAGGCCTTTATAGCGACCTTCAGCTCAATACAAGAGACCTCAGATCCCACCCTCTCCTCCTAGCCCCCATCTACCCCTTCCCACCCTGCTGTAGGCCCTAGCCTGACTCCTCACTCTCAGAACAAGGGCACCTGCTCTGGTCTGCCATGCTCCTGCCTTTGCTTAAGCTTTTCTCCACAGGGCACTCTCTGTCCCATGACTTGCCCATCACCTCCTGAAAACTTTATTCAGTGGTCCCTGTCTCTCGGAGAGGCTTCCTATGCCATGCAAAATGGTAGTCCCCAAGCCCTGTGCCAGCTTTTCCTCCCCACAATCCTTCCTGTCATCTGAGATGGCACACATTAGCACGATGTGCTGCGGGAACTCCTCTCTAGACCCCCGTGCTCCACCCAGTGCATCCACCAGGTTGAATGGATGAGAATGTGTTTATTCCACACAGCTTGGGGAGGTAGCTGTGGAGCCAGAGAGTAGCCATTGCAAAACAGACTTTAGCCAAACAGGCATAGAAACCACCTTGCTAGTAGTAAGCACCTGCTCACTGGGCCGCACTGAAGGTTGACCTGGGTGAGAAAAAGACTTGGAGCCAGTGCCAGCCTAGAGCTGCATGTGGAAGCCAACTGGCATTAAATGGCCAAGAAAGTAGGGGCTCCAATAGCCTCACAACAGCCTGACTGGAGGAGAGGCAACAGAGCTATCACTTTGGTCTTTTTCACCAAGAGGGCAAAGGTGACTGATGGGGCCAGCTTCCCTCCCTGCAGAACACTGACCCTGGGGGAGATCATACTCCACAGGAAAGCTAACACCCCTGCCCCAGGCCAAGACCCTGCAGGCTCTGAGGCAGCTACAGACCTACCCAGAGGCTTGGGGCCAGCTTGTCCAGACATAGACGGCACCAACGGCTTGAGAAGCAAAGGAGAGGACCAAGCTTGAAGGCTGAGTGCTGGGCTGGCATTGGGCAGGTGGGCATGGGTCTCTCCAGGGAGGAATAGAGTTTGACTCCAGCTCCCACACTCACAAATGAGTGAGGACAGGCAGGAGACATCGGCAAGGATCACAGAGCAGCAGCTGGGGTGAGAGAGTTATCGCTGAAGACTAAAGACAGAGAAACTGAGGCCCACAGAGAAGGGACAACTGGGCAGGGAAACGCTCCTACTGCCACCCAAAGTAGGATTTCCTCCTTCTGGGTAAGGACCTCACCTGCAAGTTTTCCCAGCCACCCCCAAATCGCAGCCTCCCCTCAGACTTCAAAGGATCCTGGGGGCTTCGATGTGAT